GGTGTCTCGGCTGGGCAGACCAGACCCCAGTGAGTATTATGGAGTTGGCGGGGCTTGGCGATCTTTCCATCTCTGCCAATGGGTGTGTTCGTGCGGCGCAGATGAGACAATGAAGAGGCAAATGTGTAACGACTCAGCACCTGGGACACACCAGCCTTGGCGGAAGCCGCCTTCTTCTGCTCTCCCCAGTTACCAGTAGCAAGAGCATACTTCAATCCACCGGTCAGTGTGCTGGCCTTGATACCGATGTTGAGATAAATTTCGCGATTGGTCTCAACGCATCGCTGCACGTAACGCTGGAGATCCTTTGTGACTCGGGTGAAAAGAGTCCGGAAAAGACTGGCCAAAAGGGGACCAGCCAAATCGAGTCGCTTCTTTCCGAAGTGATCACGGTCATCCACATCGCGGCGACCGAGAGCACACTGAAGAAGTCGGTGCACCATGTATCCAAGGAAGAAAGCTTTGCGGGTTTCGCTGCCCTCGCTCTGCGAAATGTGAGGCAGCAATTCCTTCTGCATAATATCCCGGGCGTAGCGCACACGACGATCGTGGTTCAGGTTCGTCTGTGACGATCCACGCTTGGCAATGAAATCCAGGGCAACTTCACGGTCCTGGATGACGAAGCCCTCCTCAATACACGGCTTCAACATCTCCAACATGGGGGTATCGTTGCGGTCATAGCAAATGTGGTTGAGGATATCTTCATCGGAAACGACGCCCAGCGCACGGAAAACGACGACGATTGGAATATCGGCCTTGACGTATGGAAGTGTCGAGCGAATAGTCGGGCCGAATCCTCCTTTAGCGCTGTCACCCTTAGCGAAAAGCTTCAAAGTAAGTGACGAAAGCATGCGCGAGCCCTTTTCGACTGCACTTCGAATTTCGGCAATGTAAGGTGTCGGGCTGGGGGGTGCCTTCTTGAAGACTTGGACGATGTTGCCCGCACTGCGTTCCTGTGCGATCAAAACCTTCTCACTGCCGTTAATGACAAAGTAACCACCAGAGTCGTAGGGACACTCGTTCCAAGCATAAAGTGACGCTTCGTTCAAATCCTTAAGGATACAGTATTTAGATTTCAGCATAATGGGCATCTTTCCAATGAAGACTGTTTCCTCTTTCATCTGCTCCTGTGGCAGCTGCTTCGTTTCCCAATCCAGGTATGTGCCTTGAGGCTTATCGTTCTCGCCCTCGTCGTCATCGTCGTTGTTGGCCTTGCCGATCTTCTCACGGCCTTCCATAATCTTCTTTGTGACACCGAGGTAAAGTGGGGAAGCGTAAGTGAGGTTTCGTAGACGAGCTTCCTGGGGCAACATGATAGTGGTAGCACCATCGCCTTCAGTGACGGATGGGCGCGAAAGCATGACTGTGCCGAATTTGAGCTCGTAACGGCGCACGACGACCGGCTCGATTTCGTCTTCGGAGGGGGGGAGAGTCTGATCGAGAACCACCTGGCCTTGCTCCTCCACAAGCTCCTGCATAGTCGAGGAGATAAATTCATCGAATGAATCCAGTTGCTGAGAGACGAGACCCTTTGAGTCAAAAAAGGACGAAATCACCGTCCAACAATCCTCGGAGGTGATGCCCTCGTCCGCATCATCGTAAAACTCCTCCTCGTATGTCTCGTCATAGTCCGCCATGATTGCGGTGTACTGAGGTTAGATATCGATTGAAACCAATGAGGAGAGGAATAAGAAACAAGAGAAGCGCAAGGCGCGTCGGCGTGGGAGCAGGTCTCCGCGAGAATCGCCCAACGCGCTGCAACGCCCGCCTGTCAGTTTCTGAAAGTGGGGTTATTGAGAAGTCAAGAAGTCAGAGACAAATGCAAAAAGCAAGGCTGACAAACTTGGGGGATGAATGAGAGGCTCCCCGACAATATTCCGATGAAGGGACTGATCTCCAGACGTTTGGATGCTTCTCAGCCAGGCGCTAGTCTCGATGTGGTAGACTTCACGTGATATTTACCTCACCGCCCCGGCAATATGACGGTCAAGACAGCACGTGATTATATCTGGACCGCGAGGCAAACATGACGAAATGAAGAGCACATAAATTTGAGATTGAGATCAACTTTGGGATATCACATTAAACGAGCATAAAATCACGCATGTGGGTGAATTGTGCTATGTTGAATCTTGATCGTTGCGGGATCGTCGCAAAAGTTGAGTTGTATCTACCCATACAAAAATCTATATGGCGACGAATTTTACAGGCATCCGCGACAACCTTGTGATACAAACCAATGTACTTATCCATCTTGTGCAGCGGCCATGATTCCATATTCCAATTGAAACCTATTTAATGTGTTGGTTCGTACGTTAGACTTTGAAAAATATCGTTGATATCTTTCACTTCGGAATTGAAATCATCTTGGTACCTAGAACTACGTAGGCTAGAATCTTCCAACTTTTATCTTAATTTTTGAAAGTACCATGCTCAAAATGTGGGCCGTGTGATTGGGTTTATTGATGACATTGATATTATGATACATTACAGTTCCGTTGTTCAAACAAACTGCAAAAGAGTGCTCAGCATATCCTCTAAGTCTTTATGGCCCGGTTCATCCCCGCCAAGACCTTCGATTTGTTCTACTCGAGTTAGCTCCGACAATGATAGCGATTTGGGCGACTTACCTTGCAAGGTGCCACGGACCAGGGACAAATCTTCGTCGCGGTCCGCAAGAAGTGAGGTAATCTTCGTTTTTGCTCCATCATCTTCGGCAATGAGCCACGCCAGAATAACATCGATCGTCTGAAACAGTTAGCAAAGAGGCTTGCCAGCGCGGAAGAGGAACTGTACCTGCAATGAGAACAGACCCGCGTCGAGCCGTCTCGACAGCCATTCGCCAGCCATAAGTTCTTGCTCCTCCTTGTCAAACGTTCTGCGCTCTTTTTCAATGGCTTGGTCGACAGGTAAGATGCGTGCGGCATAGTCGCGTCGGAGATTGATGAGCTTCTCGATCCGTGCATAGTCCTTCTCCATAAACTTGGCCAAGGCCCGGATTCGAGGAGCAGAACCACCAGGGAGAAGACGGAGAAGGGAGGCGAAGATTCCCAAGAAATGTTCAATGTTTTGACCCTCTTGCTGGATGGATATTAGCACGACCCAATTTGACTGTGAGAGAGTAAGCTTGCCTTCTTCAAGAACATTCCGAAAACTGTCTTCAGACCAGCTGCCTCCACCAGCCTCTCGCAGGCTGGGGCACCTCCCGCTCCGCCCAAGGCGTGGTCAAGAACCCTCAAAGCACGTGGCTTACTGAACTTGCCTTCCTTGAGCATGATCAGCGCAAGCTCGACTCCTTCGGCCTCCACGAATTTTTCTTTTCCTGCATCTTCCTCGACAAGGCAGATGAGGGCATCAAAGAGATTCTCCACATATTCTTCCTCGTCAGAGTCCTTAGCTGGGTCGCGTTTGCGGTACGCACTGAGCAGCTGGAGGAGGATATCGATGCCGTCGAGCTCAATAAACTTCGTGCGATTCTTTGGGGTAGACTGTAAGAGGATTGCCAGTATTTCTGCGGCATATTGTTTGTTCTGGCTGACAGCCGCTTCCTTGCGCTGAATACGGGACAGGATCCAAGGTAAAATTGCTGCGTCCTGTCCAATTGCCTCTGCATGTGATGTCTGGGAGGCAAGGTTTTCCAATACACCTGTATTGAATTAGCAAAGTTTCATATTCATTGTTGAAATATGGCCCTCACCTAGCACATAGTACACTCCCGCTCGATCGGTTTCAGACCCCTCATCGAGTCGGGAGAGATTTTGAGCCAACAGTTCTATGACGTCGGCCTCCATCTAGTAAGAGTTAGCACTTGTTACTCATGGCACCACGCCTCACCATACCATTGCGTTAACAAGAGCATCCCATTGCTCTTGTTCTGCCTCCACGTCCTGGTCTGTCAATTCACCGATTATCTGGATGACATCAATTGCAATGTCGGCATTTTCATGCGACAAGAGAGAGGTCAGGGATGCGACACAGCCCATCTTAGCAAACTCTTCGTATAGCTCAGGATGCTCCGACAGGATTGACAAGCCTTTGATTTCAGTGTCCAGGTCGGCCTCGGAAGTCATGAACCTGCGGCATAATTAGCACCTGGTACATAAAGCTGTTCCGGCATCCACGTACTTTTGCGGATCACTCTCAAACTTTGCTCGTAGTTCAGCATTCTTAGAGATCTTCTTCTCGAAACTCAATGCGAAGCGGCGCACCCATGCAGAGTCGAACTTCTCGGGCTAGAGCATACTGTTAGCACCGGACAAATATCACGTGTGCTATAGGTTCCCTACCGCAGCCTCATCTTCATCTTGCTGGTCGATGTATTCCATTGCTTGGGCTGTCTTTTGCTCCATTCCACCGCCGAAGAAGCGGCCCTCCTCGTCGTCTGGGATATCCTCCTCAAAGTCCGGAGGGAGCTCGGGCCCAGCTTCACCGTCGTCAATTTCGTCCTCCACCATTGGCGCTTTCCCCTTTGATCTCACATCACCACTTGGATCTAATTTTGCTGATTTGTAGACTTCATCTGTCGCGTATTGTCAGGATTTGCGACCAGCGCGTTTGCGGGGAAAGAGCGTACTTGGATCTTGGACAGGCTCAAATTTACGCTTAGCGCTCCCTGTGGTAGATGGTTTCTTTGCGCGTTAGATGTGCCTTCCTCCAGTAGATAGAGATGGAACTCACCTTAAACAGCTCGTCGACATTCATGGTTGCTGCGCTAAGACGCCAGTTCAGTGGACAATGTGAGGGCAACCAATCTCTGGGACGAGACGATATCAAATACAATAGATTATGTCAGTGAGATGTCGAAAGCAGCAGTGAAGATAATATAAATATAAAGGAATAGCCAGACGACGCTGTCGCACCTCCCTTCACTACTGCGCGGGCAAAAGAAATACGGTTGCGCACAAGAGCTAAAGACGCAGTAATGCCAAGCGTTCCCGGGGCCGCAGATTTCTCGACGTCCGATCATCACTCCAACATCAACATCAACATACGTCCTCTACCGTCGTCTCTCACATCATATACAAAATGGCCCCCAACCAGCGCATCGTTCCCTCCGGCTCTCGGCCCCAGAAGGGCTTCGTCAGCACCATCTACGACGAGGCCACCAACCCCGAGAACAAGACTATTGTCCGCAGCCTCGTCATCTTCGGTGTACGTTTTGGCTAATCAACAATTTCAACGTCCCAGTGTTATCCATTAAACTAACAATATCCGTTATAGGCCGGCATCGCGTTCCTCCACTCCAGCTTCGGAGAGTTCCTTCTTCCTCCGTAAGTCGAGCCAACCCAACACGTTTCTATCGAGATCAACCGAATGAACATCATCTAACTTCACGCAGTATGTAAAATCATCACGCCTTTTATACCTCCGGTGACACGACTCGGAATCCCTCTTTTGAACCTGTGGAAGCATATCGGCGTCAGTCAAAGGAAAACATACGATGCATAGGCATCTTTCGTTAGGTGGTTTTTCAATTGGATAATTTGTACAATATTTATTGGCAGGGCATGTATTATCCGACATGCTGTGGCCTGTTTTGAGATTCATGAATATCAGGGTTTTTTTTACCATTGGCTGTATGTCCAGCGGTGTGGTACAATCCAATCTTGGTCTAGGATATTTGCAACCTATGTTACAGCCCCTAAAAATTTGTGATGGGTTGGAGCTGAGTCTCTCAGCCGCCGGTCAGATCATACTGCGCTTAATAGCGAGATAGACTACTTTCTATGCTTTCCGGGAAAGTACTGATATTGAGTGTAGGTGGCAACACCAGACGGGTAGCCATGGGCGACTGTAACGATCCAAGATAGATGGATGCATATCAATTCCCAACCATCACCCGCATCGGTCCAAAGTGAGCCGCCATTTGATGCGGAAGGCACGGCGAACAGCAAATCCAAAAGTTGATGTCGCTAAACCAAAAGGCCCACTGTGCCTCAAAATGCCATAGTAAACAACGGGGTACAAGGAGTGTTTTGAATTTCAAAAGCACGTAGATAAGATGAGAAGAGATGATTACAACATAGGGAGAGTTTTGCCCAACTAGGCCCCTAGCTTTGGTCATGCTAGATTAGTACAACATTGTGATTTAGTGGACATGCCAGAAACTTACCTCGTCGCTAACAATACCGAGCATCATTGCAAATATATATGGATGCAGCCGGGGGAGGTGTAGGTCTGTCTCCCATCTCCGTTATCACAGAATGCAATAAAAAATGGGATCAACCGGTCGTTAACACTCGTGGCACAAGTCTAAGTGATATACCATGAGATACACCTTAATCTTAGGCAGATTACTTATGAAGCCCATGTGACAAAGGTTGAATCGTCGTAAACCAAGGTGAAACCCCAGTAAATATATGCAACATATATACGTATAGGCGTCGCTGGCCTGAGTGAGTTTCATCAAGAAAATGCAACACACTATTTCCATTACGCACAACCATTTTCTAGATTGAAAAAGATGGGCATCGTCAATGCGACCGTTCGTTCTACAATATAGAGTACAGGTGCCACAGAAAAGAGAGGTGATTTCGTCTTGGTAGGGTTTAAGATCAACGGAGGTAAATTCTTAGGTAGGAGGTGCAAAGTATAGCTTCGAGAAGATAGTGATAATTATGGCCAGACAGTATCCAATGAGGGCCCCGGTTTAGTCGTCCCCACCTCATTCCGTATAGGACCCGGTATGGTATATTGCCAATTTACATCAAAGCACTCCATACATCCCAGGGTTTTGGTTAGTCATATGAGAATCTTGAGCATTAGTCCATAATACGAACCGATTGAGTGTTCGCATGGTGGCTCCAATCTACACAACTCTCACTACTAGTGAAGCGATCTTTGTCCGTCGAATCCGAGAGGCAGTAATTTACCGCTATGGTGAATTCACAGATTCGACCCCGTAATTGTTTTTGTATGGTAGAAAAGGACAACTCCAAAACCGCCGTTGTAACACTCTAACCAGCATCTTGGACATGAGGCGCCTTCAACGGCGATGCCTGGACGATTAGTCCACAGGTAATGCAATAATAGGGATTGGGAAGTGGATGCCGAAATAATATTCACACCAATGAGAGAGAGCCATGCCCCGGTCACTTCATCGGTCCTAGACCCCCCGCAAAATGCCCCCCACATTGCCCCGGTTCCGAACACCGCCTGATCACGGGCTTGGCCATCGGCGCCCTGTGGGAAATTTGCATTCTAATTTGTACTCTAGTATGACATGCCGTAGAGATGTCTTCAAGCCCCGATCTCAAGCGCAAGCTGGCAGAATCTCGCATGGATCCTACGGCTAAGCGCCATCTGCATGGATGTGATCCGCGGTCCCCATGGCTACACGAGTCCGAACCTGCCGGGATATGGCGGACACGAGGAAATCCCGGTGTGCATCACTCGATGCCTTTGTCGAATATGGTATCCGCCGTACAAGTCCTGATAGACCCGGACTTTGATCCACTGACGGCGATGCTGGACGACGAGCCCCAGTTTTTAAAACCCCTGCCTGCTCGTATCGCCCCGGAGGACTTGGAGTTCTTGAGATTCCGTGGTGCCCTCTCACTTCCAGAGAGTGGGCTGCGAGATGAGCTTCTTCGTTGCTACATTCAATGGGTGCACAGTTTCATGCCAGTTTTGAACTTGCAAGAATTCTTGCGATGTGTGGCCGAAAATGACCCAGAGGGAAATGTTAGCATCCTACTCTTTCAGGCGGTCATGTTTGTTGGTACAGCTTTTGTCGACCTCAAGCATCTACAGGATGCCGGGTATCCAACAAGAAAAAGTGCGCGAAATGCGTTCTTTACTCGAATAAGGGTTTGTTTGTTTTTATCAAGTGACTGCGAGATCAACACAACTAAATCATGATGTATAGTTACTCTATTCTCTCGACTGCGAAGAGGACCGCATTGAGATTCTCCAAACACTGCTATTGATGACCTACTGGGCTGATTCGGAGAACAGTCCACATCGAGATATTTGGGATTGGATTGGAGTCTGCAACACACAAGCACAGTCTATCGGTTTAAACAAAGACCCTGCATCAGGTGAAATCGATATACGGACCCGAAGACTCCGTTCTCGACTCTGGTGGTGTCTATACTCTCGAGATCGGCTGATCGCCATGGGTATGCGGCGCCCCCTTCAGGTTAACGATGGAACGAGCAGTGTTCCGATGCTCAGACTGGACGATTTCGATTTTGAACCTTTCTCTCCATACGTAGTGGCCAAGTTCAATTGCCGCCAACTCCAAGATGTGTCACATCAAAAACGACTCGCCACCATGTTCATCGAAAAAGTGAAGCTTTGTCAATGTATTGGTAGAGTATTATTCGCGCAATATACACCATCCCAACGCCAATTTGGAGCTACGAACCGCACTACAGTCACAATTATCCCTCGACAGGCTTCCGACTCTGAGTTTGCGCGATGCGGTCAGAAACTCGACTCGTGGCTCAGTGCACTCCCGAAAGATGCACAATTTATCCCAAAATCGGGAAAGAATTTCCACGATGGGGAGGACGTGCTGCTGCTTCATGGTGCAATGCTACGTATGCTCTACCATGCTACCAGCAGCGCACTTCACCGGCCTTGGGCGACTGCTTCAAAAGGTCAATCCAAATCGCGGACGGACTGGCGCAATGCTGCGCGTACAAAAATGAATGATGCTGCTGCGGGGATCACACATATTATTCAGGGCTTAAATAAGCTCAACCTGACACGGTTCTTACCGCAGTCTGGAGTGACTGTGATTCTACCTGCCGCTGTGGCACATTTAACCAACACCATGTCTGACGACCCAGCTGTCCGCGAAAGCAGTGTCGACAACTTCCATCGATGTATCCAAGTTCTCCACTGTCTTAAGGATATTTACCCAGCCGCCGGTCAAGAGTTTGCCAATCTCGAGGCCGCCATCAAAATGCAGGCAGGTGCCTCCAGTACATTTTTCCAGGTCATGGAATACAACATCGACGCTCCTGCTACATCTTTGGCGACCAGGAAGCCAAGCACTGCCTCCACTCCTCAACCCCAACCACATCCCCCTGTTACTGCAGCCGAAACTTCCAAGCTCCGAGCACAACCCTCATCTGTCCAAGAGAACATGCATCAAAAAAGCCCCAGCATGGAAACCAGACATGAGACCGCGCCACCTTTATTCCCCAATGATTTTAACCCTTATTCCGACCCCAACATCATAGACAACAATCCTTTCAACTTTCTCTCCATCGACATTGACTCCTTCCCAGACACCCAAACCCCTACCAATCAAAATAACCCCAACTACCCAGATAAACCCTATATATCACCTCCACCCCAAGACCAAGACACCATCGACTGGGCACAAGAGCTGTTCCAAGACACCGATGTCAATCATTACAGTAACACAGAAATGTTTGGCAAGCCCCACAAGACAACTCCTCCCCAAGATCAAGAGCAAAGCCATCTCGATCCGTTCTCTTTTACTTTGTGTGATACAGATGATGTTCACTCCGTGCATTCTCGTCATCAGTCAATGAACGATGCAAGGCCGGAGATTACTGGCGATCTAGATCGGGACTTGGGATTCCAGTCTGGGGATGATATGTACTAGTGTATATAACAAATTGAGATGTAATTATTATCTTATCTCGAGTCACGCCTGTTTCATGTAGTCTACGACATTTTATGAACAGGATAGAGAGATCATAGGCTAGTTCTTTATGGAAGGTGATGTTCGGAAGCAGGAGCGCGGAGGTTATTGCGACACCAAAGCAATGAATTCAGTGGAATAAACTACTTGAATGAATTTACTTTTTAACTAAGAATCTCTAAGATATTCCTAAACTAAACATTGAGGGATATTTCCCACAACAGCAAACATGAATTGTATGAATGCCCAAAGGTAGTCTTTGTCAACTACTTGCCTTGGTGCCTGACTATAACTGTACTTATATCATTCCGCTGAGCCATTCATGGAATTATGTCTCTAAATCAACTTCTAAATCTATGCTTTCAAGTTAACCATTCTCTGTCCGAGAATTCTATCATCTCTGCCCATCATGTTGGCCCTCACATGGGGAGTACCAACCTGAAAGGTGCGATCTTCCGGGAGACAATATTGGACACTTGCGTAGACTCTCCTTGACACCTACCTACTATCCTAGGCAAAAAGATCTCTTGCAACCCTTCCACATACGCAACACTTTCGACTTGGAGAATCTCCATGTAAGTACAGCATAGCTGCTTTGACCATCAAACATTGTCTCTTTGAGCACACTTTCGCATATCTAACAACGCCTAGTCAAGTCTCTGCGTCACATACATGCTGTGTGCTTTTACAAGCACTCAACATATCCCCCACAATGCCATTTTGATATTACCCATTTGGACTTACTGGTCCATTCTGAGCAACTCTTGCCATCTTTATATATTTCATACTATATTTTTCTATACCACTTGAGGTCTTGGCCAATACCGAAGGAACAAGCAACTATAAAAACTTCGAAACTGGCTCTCGAGTGGAAACCACTTCACGTGTGGTCCAACATTCTAAATTTTATCAGACACAACGGCAGCGGCATCTTGAACACTATCAGTAAATATATTCGACCCTTCGATCTTCAAAAATGAGAAGGTTGCGCGTCAACGAAGAAGATTACCTCGAGCGGTGGAATCCGAAGCAGACGAGCCACATGGAAGAGAAGAGCCTGAACGCAGTGACAATACTTGGAGACACCTGCAATAATCAAAAATTGAATTCCGACGCTGGATTCTAATTTCTCTACTGTCCCCTTGTCAAGATCAGTCTCTCTCTTCAGTCAAATACCTCCATCCTCCATGTCTTCTATTTGTCTGTCTTCCCATGGCTGGAGCTTCGAGTGCTCATCTAGGTCAACTTTCACTGGGTCTTTGTTGGAAGGACCATCTTTCCAACACTTATTCTGTATAAGAATTGGTAAAATGTTGAACTGGGAGCGTATTGACGTGCTCCATTTTCGAGGAAGAACTCCCCTGAAAGAACGTCTGCCACGCAGAATGAACCGGGACTGGAAAGACTCAAATTAGAACCCCCCAGCGGGAATACCACTCGCGTCTTATCCAGACAGTTTCCAGCAGAATCATTCCGGTGTTTGAATAATCCCTGAGGATCATGACGTGTTGATAATGTGCTGAGACACATGGTTTGCTTTCTGTTGTGGTTACAACTATCCTCAGACGTCTTCTATCAAGTCCTCCACGTGGTCATTTTTGGGGCATTAGCAGATACAGATCAACCGAAAACACCGTCGACCTTCTACAAGCTCCATGGCTTGACAGTCTGTCAAATTTCGCTTTTGCTATTTATCATCTATATATCTCACGACAAATGGTGGATGATGAGCGTTGATTTTGCGGCTCAACTTCGTTTGGCATTGACGATATTTACCTGCACGGTGTGTTCTGGGTTGCGTTTGATGATTTTATGACGCTTCGTCGCAGCCACCCTTCCTACATCTCCGGCACAGGATCTGTCTTTCAAAGCTATGTTTCAGAAGGACTGGCCTGCCTACGTGTATAAATACCGAAAGGTGCCTATCCCTTGGTTTGAATATATTCCGCAGTATTGTCTCAACATAGGAACAACGCAAAGGAGGACTGCCATGGCCATTCGTCGACTTGAAATTGACCATTCTGGGCCTGTTTCACAAACAATGATACCATGATGCGGGATATTCTGGACTACTAGCTATATCGAGCTCGCAACATTCACTCTTCTTGTCAAGCTCCATACGGCCACCTTTAACAAATGTCGACTGCGCTTCCTGCACCAAACTTGTTCCATGATGTTAGCACAGCATAGGTTTGTATCGGGGAATGGGTCTTCGCTGGCCATTCTTCATCTCGAACTTAGTTATGCCGAACTTTCTTTTATAAACAACGATATAGCAATGCATGTGTGAATCAATCAATTGCCTTACCATTGAGCTCACGACACCAATCTCCATTTCATGTTCTACGTTCGACCATCTGTCGCATGAGAGTTCCAGTGGTTGTGCCAAACAAGCTTAATCTTAATGATGGCTGTTCCCTTAATGCTAGCACAGCATAGGGACTTTTTGAAGAGATCATCTATAGTCACTATTCGTTTCTCTTCCCCGCAAATGCTTTCTGGTTTTACCGAAAATGTCCTGTCAACTATGAGCCAAATCCTATCCCCGTTGAAACGGCATGGTGTATCTATTGCTATAGGATCAACTACGCAAGGGTAACTGCAGTTGAGGCCCAGCTACGTCTGATCTCGGCCATAATTACTAGTATGTGTGATAAATCATCACCTGAAGATCTGAGTGATTCACTCCGAACACAAGCGCTCTACAAGCCTTGGAGTATCCCATGATGATACTCTTTGTGTACTGGTCTTTCCTGGCCGGGTGGTTATTCCAAAGAATTTTCCGAAAAGGATGACTTATTGAGGAACTTTTGGACGGAGTTTGGAAGGTTTCCAGAGAGCTTCCCTCGGATGTCTCTCGAGCTTACAACTGGTCGTCCACTCGCTCTCCGAGGCATCTGTTGCTTCAATCATGAAATTAGCTCAATCACCAGCTAGATGATCAATTACCAGCTGGGCAGCTCGACACCGACTGTGCTGTGTCTAGTCTCTTTGAACCTAGTCTGTCATTGATATCTGATTCCGAAGGAACTCTGCAGCTGAGCAACCCAAGTGTCTCACAGACTTTAAGCTTCAATGTATTTTGTGGTTCTGTCTTGTTATTTGGAAGCCACCGAAACAGAATGGGGTGTCTGGCTGGCTGTGTGAATCCATTACAACTGCTTGTAGGTGAATTTTGACGAGCTCATTTCGTTTACACAATTCTGGGTGGTGGCGGCTGAAAAGGTCACTTGTTATGAACTATATTTCCTGAAGCCGAAGCTGTCTGAAAGCTTTCTGTTCATAGTCTACTATCTGATTGTCACTTAGCCATTCCAAGACAGCTACCATGAAGAAGCCATCGAAATCTTTTCATTGATAAAAACTGTTTAAAGTCTGAATATTAATGTGTTAAAAGTCCCCAGTCATTCACATACTAGATAGAATGGTGTGAGCTCCCGAGTTCAGGGTCCTGGTCTATAGAATAGCTTTGTCGTATGCCCTCACCTGGGCAACATGAATATCGTTTGTTAGTCCTTTCACGTACTTGAAGGATCCATCTGCCTCTCCTCTTTATTCCAAGTTATCATCTTCTTCCTCATCCACTCATTCCTTGCATTGATCCGTCATCATCGTTTATTTTAATACGACATCTGTACACGATGAATCTCCCCGTCCCAACCGTGAGTACCAACATGCCCTGACCATGAACAAAAACTAACAAACATCCCCACAGCCCAATCTGGCAGGGAATGTAGTACGCAAGGTGCGCCGGCGCAAACACTCAGATCCCAATGAACGCATCCCACCCGGCGTGGAAGAAGTAATTTCGCGTGGCTCCTGCCATATCGGAAAACTGAACGACACAATGGTTTTAAAATACGCCTCCGATTTCAACGACCCAGGCTATCTAACAAGCGTCAAAGTCGAAAACCGTATCCTGACTATCCTAGGCGCACACCCCCGAATCGCCGAATCCAAGGGCCTCGCTGAAGACGGACTCATCCTCAAATACTACCCTAACGGTACGCTCCGCACCTACATCAAGAACCACCCCCACGAGACTCTCGAACGCCGCCTCGAATGGTGCAAGCAGCTCGTCGATACACTGTCGTACGTGCACTCCAAGAGCGTCATCCACTGCGATATCTGTCTGCACAATATCCTCCTCGACGAGAATTACGATATCATCCTCACCGACTTCCAGGGTCTGCTTATTTCGATCACTACCGGTAGGACCTTGCTCGATGGATTGACGCGCGAGTGTGCCAAGTCGTACATGCCAAGAGAGAATGTCTATTTTGCGAGTGTTCGTACTGATCTCTTTGCTGTCGGATCGGCCATCTATCATCTTATTGCTGGACATGAGGTCTTTCCTGAATTGGATAGCTTTGATGACGAGAAGGTTATCAATGCCCGGTTTGTGAGTGGGGAGTTTCCGAAGAATGACTATGTCGCTAGTCATATTGTGGAGAGGTGCTGGAGAGGGGAGTATGAGTCTGCTGCTGAGATTTCAGTTGATATTGCTCAGGTTCAGGCTACTACGAAGGCTGTTGAGGAGGATTTGAATAATGAAGAGGCCTTGAAGCAGGAGGAAGAATATGGGGACGAATATGGGGACGAAGACGCGGAATACGAGGAGTGGTAAGCTTTGTGTGCATGGCTCAAGTGTACATTACTCGAGAGACTCCTTTCGGAAGGACCGAGTTGAATGGTCTTCAAGGATATCATGTATTCTTATTCTCTATGGAGTTGGCATATTATGTCTAGCGAAGATCAACAATAGCCTCTCCGATATCAATATGATTATGGCTCATGTTTAGCAAATGTTTAGCAAATCTTGTATGAATCGGGAAATCGTATGTCAAGAACAGACAGTCTATGTCTGCTTCCAGCGGTGACTCTCATCACCCTCTTCCCAGGTGTGCTCGACGTAGCCCAACTTCTTCTTGACCTCCTGGACCTTGGCAGAATCGCCCATGTTTTTGCCCATATTGTCGCTGAGCTTGACAGCGGGGCTGCCATTCGCGGTGGCAATCTTGATAACAATGTTGAGGGGCTTGGATTTCTGTTTGGTTGATTTGTTGATAAAATCATCTGGGAATTTGTTAGCATTTGTATTGCAGGATTGCCAGGTTCTGACTTACTGGTAAAGAAAGTTCCCACTCCAAACGTAGGGTTAAAGCCTGCCTTTTCGGCAATTGCTTTGTATTCCAGGCAGTGCTCGATATCCAGCGAATCCGAGAACACTATTGTCTTGGTGTCGGTGATACCCTGGCTATCATAGAATTCTCGGACCATCTTGACGAAAAATGTTGGATCGCCTGAATCTTGGCGGACACCGGCGTAGCTCTGTGCGTAGGTTGTTGTGTTAGGAGTAATCTGGTCCTTTTGATTTGGTGCTGAAATGGGCTTTTTGAATGCATCCAGGAAAGCGGGCGTGCCAAAGGTGTCAGTGAGAGCGATTCCAAGAACCTGTTTCTCTGATTAGTCTTTTGACACTTCTGAATAATGAAGATGGCAGAAGTACATACCCCCTCGCCGAAACAGCCAAGCCAGTAACTCAATGCCAACTCGTTGGCATTCTCGTAGTCGTCCGTGATAGCCGCAATGGTCATGTACCATTCGTGTGCCACGGTGCCGACGGCACCCTTATTGTATTTCATAGCAAAGTGCACATTACTAGTCCCGGTCATCACGCCGGGCCAGCCCTGCTTCTTTCCTTCCTCTGCCGCACGGCAGAGTCCCTTCATAACCAGGTCCTGCGTATGGTAGTCGCGACGACGGCGCGAGCCGAATTCAGAGAACACACAGCCATTCTCAAGCAACGTGCAACCCTTCTTGTATGCCTTCTCTTCCTGGTTTTCGTAGTCCCATTCCGTGTCGGTGAACATGAAATACGCTTGGCTGGTCAACGCCAACAGCGGAATTTCATACAAGATCGTGTCGAGCCAGAGACCCTCGACGATATACTCCACATTTCCTTGATCATCATCGCTGCCCGTGTCTTGTTCCGGAACGAACTTGATCTTGATATGCTCGGAGGGTTTGAGTTGGAAGGTCTCTAGGAAGGCGAGGTAGTCATCGTTGAGGTATGGGCACTTCTGGCGGAGGAATTCGCGCTCTTCGGCAGTGACGCGAATTACGGCCAGCTCTAAATGCGCCTTGGTTAGAAGCTGTATTGCGACACGAAGGGATATCCTTACTGTCCATCTGCTCCAGAAGCCATTTGTATGCCCCGCGATACAATTTCATGTGCGGGGTCCGATTCGTGTAGCCGTAGGTCACATCTGCGCCCAGATCAGCCCCAGATCCCCAATTCTTCGGTTAGAGCTACTCACAAACATCCGGGAAGTATTTGAGGACCGCGCATTGCATCGTCAGCTTGTACAGATCGGTGTCCAGGAGGGATGTGATGCCCTGTGGCGGGGACATGGCTTTGGCCATCTTGTTGGGTTAGCCGGAGGGCCCGGTCTATGAGTTAATGGAAAGGTATAGATCGCGAGAAGCCCAAGACAGATAAATACGCGGAATTAGCCGGGTTGTTTCTTGTCTTTTTTCCTTTTGCGCAACCGCGGGGGAACCTTGGAAACGCGATATGATTGCTGTTTGCTCTGTTTGCACCCTTTACATCACTATTCTTTATTGTGCAAGTTTTTTTCTTTGCTTGTCCTGGTTGCCTTTGTTTTATACAAGTCTTTAAATCACAGGTGTGTCGCTCGCACTATGTCTATTGCACAGATATAATGCGCCAGGGCCTTGACAATGCCAATATCTATCACGTGCTCCGCTATTACGTCTATGAAGATATGCACCAATAAAACTGGAATGGTACCTTTATTAAGGCACGTCACTTAGAGTTCACAGAGATAACTACGTACATAAAATCTAGGGATCAATGCCCTTGCGGCGAAGTGGGGCAATATCGTTAAGGGCAGTGGGTTGAAACGTATGAGAAAGTGTAAGTCGTTCGAGAAATAGAAATAGCAAGTACAATGTAAACCTCTGGGCTTGTGCGGCCCTATAGCTTGAATATTCTCTGTTGCTGTTGTAAGGATACCTTAAATGTAGTTTATAGAGCGAGTAAATAGACAATTACAAAACGCACAAATGAAGTCAGCTAGCTAGGTACCCAATGTCGCTAACAAAAAAAAAAAGGGAGGGGCAAAGCATACTAGAGATATATGCAGAAAAACAAAAAAAGAAATTGTTGTGCATCATCCGTGAATCGAACACGGGCCTCGTCGATGGCAACGACGAATTCTACCACTAGACCAATGATGCTAGTTGATGTAAGATGTTCCATAATTATGTTATAAGAGCTGATTATTAGTGCTATTTCCAATCAAAAACTTTACAATGTTAGGACTATGACAGTCATGTCTTCGAAGATAATTTTTACTATTAATTTACTAAGAAACCCTCTAGTCTATGGCTATATTCTAGATAGGGGCAAAAAAAAAATTAAATCCAGTATCCTTGTGTGTAAAGTGATATATATTTCACCGAACAATAAAACGATTGTGGTTGGGATTCGATATCTAGAATATATAGCCCGAGTCAACGATAGGTGTACATACTTCAATGTTCAATATCCTCGACTGTAATACATATAATATACAATACAAGTACACAACTAGGATTGGGGTTCGGTTTGATGTTTGTCTAATATAGAGATTGTACCATTTACAGACATGCAAACAAATGAAGACGTTCTTTGCACAGTTCTGTTATTCCAACCCCGAACCTCCACTCCCTCACTTCATTGGAACGGCCATCAAATTATAATCATTACACTTGGTGGAAACCAATGTGACTTTCACGCTACTACCAGGGCGCTTTGTCCTATTCGACAATCGATCCATACTTGCAAGATTCACTCGAGTATTTCCGTCATCCACCTGCACCATGACTGTTGAGCCGCTTTCCGTTAGATGGAGTGGATCAAATGGTTAGATGGCCTATGCGTCTCCAAAATTTGTACCTGAGAAAGGAGGCGATAAAGGTAGTGAAGCTCGACACACGAAAAAGGAAACAAACCCTCTCAGGCGCCACAGGGACGAAGATGGCAAAGCAAGCAGTGGTGGCAGAAACAGACGGTTATTTCGCTCAAGTGATGATGATGCCAGTCCCGCACCGACGGTTTCATCAACTATGACTTTCGGGTGGGAGGGCCAGACCTATGCCCATTACCCGCTAGGTCCTTTTTTTTTTTTTGATATCCATCCGCTCAATCGTGCCTACAACGCATAAACAAATCTACTGAAGCGTTTGCTCTATGAGACCCTCGAGGACTATGACATTACAGCTAGCGATTTGGGGTTTGTGGACAGAGCAGAGGCGGTACTTCCCCCAGGTAAAACCTCGGTCTCTCCTGCTAAGTCGACAGCACTTATATCTGCAAAACGCGCAGTAGTGAGCGATGGCTCGGAATGGCGAGAGAAATCCGAAATTATTCCCAATTCTACGGAAAGAAAGCAGACGCCGTCGATAAAAAAACATTACTTGTCAGTTTGGTGGTTGAGTTTCTGGAAACCATCGATGACTATCTAATGTATGTTTCCTGTTTTGGAGCACGAAGAGATCCTTGAAAAATGGCCAGATGTTCGAAGACAGGTCTTGGACATCCACGAAGTTGATCTGGTATCCGTTGGATGCTGTTGTGCAGGTAGAAATGATGGGGCGCAGAATGATTATGCAACTGTGTTGACTTTGGAAAAACCACGAAGCAGAATTGACTGGAAGGATTTTAGAGATGATGGTGTCAAGATTATTGACCGATTAAGCCTTCCGATGGTGGCCGTGGAGACTAGCACGGCTGATCACCCGAGCGAAAAAGAGCTTGAAGTGGAAACGAACCTGGACAGTTTGCATAGACTCAATAAGTTCTATCAGTCAGTTGCACCCAGGGTCAGCAATGACGCATGGGGAGCTCTGGCCGGGTTCATCGAGTTGTTAGGATTGCCAGACGGGAAATGGATGCCATTTATCTTGACTTGTTATCATTGCACAATGTCGGACCCCCTGCGCGATGGCATTATCATGGAAATGATGTAAGGAGGGCAGCTTGTTGGGAATAGCAATGTCGGATACATCATGCGCACATACGATCTTCTAGAAGATATCAGATGACACACCGGTGCTCAGAATATTCGTTTTAGGCAGTGATTGGATGTTGATGAGACTCTGAAGACATGTCCTTACCTATTTTTATATTAATGTTTTTGTTCAATACTACTATCTGCAATCAAGGATGAGACAATCTGGTGAAAAAGTTACACAATTGACTGTAAATCCTACGCGTAGTTGAATATCAATCGAGGATTAATAGACATAACCCCTTCTACAGGAACCCCAGACATAACACCGCTTTTAAAACCTCAAAAGAATCTCGCTGTTGTCTCGGCACAAGCTGCCTAGTCTATATACCCAGTTGACATATTCAGCAACTTACCTATTTAGGTAGGTACGATCTGATAATCTATATAGGGCATCTGGGTCGATATAGTTCGCTCCTTCCTTGGAGTTGTCTTCTAAATATTTTGTGCAAGTTTGTGTTGAAAGTTTTGTTTTGTTTTCTTACATACACGTCATCCGTCCAAGATGGATGAGCTACCCTTCCGGAACTGGTGCCTGAGCTGCCTTCATACTAGTATCGCAAATTATGATCCTCAGCAAAAGAAGCCCTTTCAAATCTACTGTGCTTTCAACGAAGAGACTAATGACTCTTGTGAGCAGTGTTCTGGTAGAAATGTTACATGTGAAGCGGTACGTACGAACCTCGTCCCCACACCTGCCTTGATGCATAGGGATCATTTCAATTCTAACAAAGAGAACTAGCCCTCCTTGGGAATGCTAGGTGACGTCTACGACTTGTGCGCCATTCTGGAGTGGACTGGTAGGTTTTGGTCTCGCAGCGAAACCTTGTCCTGGAATTCGAGCTTTCGCGTTGCTGTTTGTGAGGCCTCCAAGGAGCTCTGCCTCACGTTTGAGCATGCTGAAATGACCCACCGCCGCTTCCATATGTTGACTTCCATCGATTGGGAGGATCCAAGCGAACAGCAAAGTGTATGTTTTCTTTTGTGTTTAGACCCTTCACGCCTCGTTCACTCTGGGCTAACCACAACACTGTAACAGGCCGATGTCAATAGCTACCGAAGATTCCTTGCTGTACGCCGCGCCTCGCTACCTGTTGTGACAATCCCCCCTCACCGGCATAATTGGTCGCCAGGACTGGGTTACTTATAACCCGGAGAGACTATTGCGCCTGTGCAGAGGGGACTCTGGTTTTTCGGAGTGGTCGGAGGCAAAGACAGAGTTCCTTGATCGTATTATGCGGGAATCCATCTCAATCTACGGTGGTGATGGATCTAACACCGAAAGACAGAGACTGGTTTCTATCAAGGACAGCTTCCCTGTGAATCCGGAGTAGATTCAACGGGATGATGGCTCAGTTACCGTTCGTTGGGATTGCTCTTCTTCTTACATGATACTAAATACTTTTCAAATGACCAAATTTTGAACCTGAAATCAGGTGTTCATCTACAATTATTGCGGAGCTTGTCGATCCTCAGATATATGACTGGCTGACAGGTTGGCTTTATGCGGTACCTAGAGTATGTTCGGTGATTTTGGTACTACCACAATATCGGCTCCTAAACCAAGAGAGATATAATTACACGTACTCAACCTGCAGACCACGGTACGTTAGTAACTTCCTTGTCTTACAGGTGGCCTCGAAACTAAGGCAATAAAAGGTGCCTATATAATCTGCAGTCAATAGTACCATCCATGTGTATCCATGCCTACTTTACATTTGACAAACCCAAGACCACGGAGATTTACACCTCCATCCATCCTTTCTCGTTTCCGTCAGCAAAACTCTCCCGGTATGGATGTTTCTCAATCCATTCCTCTGCGCCGACAACTGTCGCAGACTTCTCGTAGAACTCGCTAAGCACGTCGTTCAGCTCTGTAAATCGTTAATACCCGCCCAGTCTACCCGTATCTTAGGATTAGAGCTCACTTTCGATTTCCATAGGACTGGAAGGTTGCAGGGAAAAGCGAGACACGCCCTCTCTCCATAGTACCAGAGCAGATGGAATGGGAGTACCTAAGATCATAAGCTTCTGTTTTTACTCAAAACCGAACATGGAAAATAAAAATATCATACCTCGCGGAACACAGATAACAGTGGGGTCCAAAACAGATTTACCATCGCCGATCTCTTCTTGGTACCGCTCGAAATCAAAGCGCAGCATTTGCTGCATAAGACGAGAATTGGGCATGAAGATTGGCCCATTGGAATCTAATATATAGATAGTTAGACTCTATTGCACGAGGGCTAGACAGGAGTTTACAGACAGGGGCTTGACTTAGAGATCGCTGCGTGAACCAACCCATCCTTAGACACAGTGATTGCATCCTTCCTGTGGCGGGTCTCGTCTTGGGTCACGTCATATAGTGTGGCCTTGCGCGCCAGCTGGTATCGATACATTGTCGCGGGAAATGAAGCATGGGTGGAAAGGAGGGAGAATTTTCGCGCCTGGTTGATGTTCAGCCGGGCGGCTGGTAGCCAGTGAGTGGTGATCATTGTTAGAATGTGTCGCGAGCCAATGCTAGGGACGAAATTCACAAGTGGTGTGTGGTTAAATTAACCTTCAGATATCGCGGAAACTGGACCGTGGATGGAAAAGGAACACGGTCCCGTGACGCGCAATAAGGTTTGAGTGGACCTTCCCGGACTCTCTACATATCGATGGATATAATATCCAAGGTATTGGCAATTTACAACTTTGAAGAGATATCCATGGATGTATTTTCTGTAATATCAGTAAAATATTAACATGTGATTCAGAATGCTTCACATGCTTCTATTGGAATTTCTACAAATAACGCGACGTATTGTAATGAAAGTTCACGTGGTTACAAATGGATAAATTACCGGAATTACCATGAGCATCGACAACCCAGATGCCATTCCTCATTCCTCGCTCCATGAGGTAATTTTACCATTGGGACTTTGGTCCCTTTGGAGAATTCACCTTCACCTACTCCCAAGGGTCTCCAGAGCATTTTCCGGTTAAATACACTTCCCCCACGGGCCGCCATCTATTCCGAAATGCCCCACAGTCTTACCTGGGGCTCCCAACCCGGGCTCCCAACCCGAAAGCACCAGCAGCACTACCCGCATACTTGCTGTCGACTAAGTTGGTTGCAATACTTACAACAACATCAGTCGTACCAAACCAATCATTGCCAGCCTAATGGTAGGAGCAATCCAGGGATTAGATGGATATGATGTCCATGCATAGACAAACATGCCCCCGGTCACCCCGAACAGTCTCTAATAAGTGCTGGATACAAACTGGCTTCGGGGATTGGGGTACCTGGCGCTTCAGTGTTGCAAGCTGTAGAATGACCTTCGTTAAGGAAGTTGTGTCGAACTCCTCCTTGGTATATGTCTTTGTCCTCCTTGCGCAGTCTCTTTGCATGTGGGATTGTCTTAGTATATATAGAAGTCCTCTACTGTCCTTCGTATTTCCTAACTACATTCCAAGCTGATTTCAAAAGACAACGCATCAACATAAAGTTCTTACCTATTCTCTGCACAGTCGTCTGCTGCTTTTACGGTAGCAGGACCTTGGCAAGCCAATAGTCAAGCTAAAGACCAAGTTAAAAAAAGACAAGTAAGTGCTCGACCCCTCTGCTTAAGACGACTTAAGAATATATAGGCTGATCAAGATGGGATGTGGACAGGATATAAGTGCTGCTATGGCCGACGAGACAACCCAGGACTTGCCCACGGGATACGCCCAGCAGTTGAACAGGCTAGAAGGCATGGGATTCAATAATCGCCAGCAGAACATTAGAGCCCTAAAAGTGACAGATGGCAATGTACAGAACGCGATAGAATATATAATTAGTTTTGCTAGGTGACAGAAATCGGTCTGTATCAAATTGTATGGTATGAATTGAGTATATGGAACACTCTGTATTTCTATATACGCGGTCCTTACAATTTACATGGACCTTAGTTATCTAATCAAAACAACGGAGCATTCATAACTCCTCTGGTATGCTTGGCGGTATGCTTGTTACCTCCTGTGTATTGTACCGGGTATGCAGACTCGGAATTTGACAATAGGCTCTAGTAGTCCGGGAGAGGGTTCGGCTTAGGTTAATGGAGTACACTGCTACAAAAGATAAAACTGATTTCGAATTCTACTGTATGTTAACTTTGTATGTAAAGATTCCTCGGCGAATAGTTATGTCATATAGCTAGAAGGCTTCCTATCTTATTCAAATGGCGAGGTAAATCATTTCGTTTTTTTACTACAATGGATGACAATTCCAGGATTGCTTAGCTATCTTCCACTTGGCGTGGGCAGGTTTTCTTTTGCCCATGTATTTTCTATGCCACTCATGCCGGTATAGGGACAGCCGTATGAGAAAGTACGGGTGTCTATCGAGTTCATAATTAATAGAACGGGCGAAGTATAGAGGACGTCATGATCGCTAAATCAGGTGTATATAACCGCCAAGACATCTGTTTTAAAGTTTACATTAAGCTCAAACAGTCTTGGCGAAATTAGTAGCCCGAAGCATCTGCAAGGTCTCCATACATCACGTCACCTAAACCTTACAAACCATAGGAAAACGTATGCTTATAATCATGACTTTATTGAGTACCGTATCTGTACATATAATCTCTGTTTTATTTGTTATTGAATATGGGAATCGTGAGACAGCTGTTTCCTTTAAACCAGTCAATGAGGTGGCGAAACAAGATGAGTTGTAAAAGGTACCTCTCTAGTTTTCCACTTAGACTCGTAATCAGAAATACGCTTGATTTCGGCTGATATTCCAGCTCGGAAAGCTCAACTCCCTGATGGAGATAGCCTCTTACAATATCGCGCAAGCGATCCCGAAGCCTTCGGCTACGGAAACTATATAGATATTAGAAGTAGTAACGGCTAACTATGGCTTGATGGAAATCTGCTCACCCATTATAAGAGTTCGACCTAACTCATCCGGGATGTTAGGCAGTCTCTCTACCTGCCTCCCAGAGGCTTCAGTTGAAATTAGTTTGCGATAACCAAACACCCTAGTAATAGTATATTCCTTCATGCTTTCCAACCGGTGTTCTGCTATTTACAACTTTCATAAATAAAATTCGATTTATCAAGTAAAGTAATTACCTAAAATACCACAAGCAAATGCATAAGTTATATAATTAGAATTCTTAGCATATTTATTTAGTTTATAACCTAATTTGGGGCCTCCAGAGGCAGTTCATGCATGGTCTTGAGTTGTCGCTGGCTGGCGGTGGTGGGTAATTGAGAATTTTATGGGTTGGCTCTCTGCGACTGCGGCCATCTTGATAGACTTTGGATGATATGTCTGAGGAGAAGTTTGCTTATATCTGGGGTTCTATTTCTATTTGAACTTTTGCTCGCCAGTTGTATCCGGGCCCTTGCTGGGAAGACCTAATGCGGCCGATATAGACTTACCCGCGAATCACCCTGCGACTCCGGCAACAAAATTAGACTGTAACAGATATATATTTAGGATCCTTGCCTCGAAAGAAAATGATTACTCTACAGAGTGACAATTAGGTAAGCACAATAGAGACCAGGGTCGGGGACACGTGGACGGAAAATCGAGTGTTAATAGTCTTCTCGTATCCCCTTTGCATCCTCAGTTCTCCTCACCTTATTCACAGCTTCATAATCTGTCAAAAATGGCCTCCTCTCTCCCACCACAGTACGAAATTCGCGTTCTTGGACCAGAACACGAGGAATGGGCCCGAGCAATTTGCATTCAAACAAATTTATTCCACTCCCCACTTTGGCCAGTTGTTTACCCTGAGAACAAAACACAGCGGGCCTATCAGACTTTTCGGGATGCGCACTATTTAATCAAGCACCAGATCGATTCGGGAAAATCACTTGGTATCTTCGACAAAGAATACCAGTACAAGCGACCTGAGTCTGCAGCCACCGGGGGCAAGCTCTACTGGGATCTGGATGACGAGAATGTCACCGAAAGTGAGCTTGCAGAGCAGATGGACTTCCCATTAGTCTCAATTGCCATGGCATACGATGGAATCGACGAGTTAGACATAACTCAGATAGAACCTCTGATAGCAGCACTGCCCTTGTTCGGAACAGTCTATCACGCCCTCGAGGAGCGAGACCCGCGCGATCCTGCATCATGGAAACCTACGTCCCGTGGGCAAGTACTGATGCGCAACGCTACCAACACCGTGAAAACTCATTCCGGACGTGGGCTCATGAGACTGCTGGCTGAAGAGATGATGAGACGTTCCGCAGCAGAAGGATACCGGGGTATTCAAATCGAGAGTGTTTCTGAGGCGGTGCAAAAGGTGTGGTCGAAACCACCGGCACCGTTCAAGGGGACTATAATTTCGCAGATTCACACAACGACATATGAAGAGCAAAACGAGGAAGGGGAAGTTGTGTATCCGTTGCGACCGGCGAATGTGAACATTAGCAAAATTTGGGTCGACCTCCGGGCTTCGGATTAAAGAGATTAACTTCCCCACCAATTGAACTGACACATCTAAAGACTGATAGTTGCTGAATTATATGAGAGACTGTAGAGTACATCTACACACGGCAGATGGGAACTGACCATTGTTAGGATCAGTGGTGTGGTTACCTGACCCTATTTTCCAGGAGTACCGAGTAGTCTATGTAGCAATGCAGTTTGCTCATCTTCCTCTTCCTCTTTCCCCCATGCCCAATAAATAATACAGTATGATTCTCCCCCCTCTCCCCCAGAGTTCCGATAACTATCCCCTGTGTACCTTTCCCCCATCCCCAAGAATGTCTCAAACAAAGGTGTCGATTCTAGACTGATGTCAAGGACACCCCGCAAGCAGGCCTTTAAAGCCTCGAACAAGAGTTAGTAATACTTTATCTCGACAATCTCAGTGCCAACAGGCTGATCAGGGCAAAGAAAAGATTAGTCAGAAACTTTGGCACAACGCCCTTTCAATGTTGCTTTGGAATTTCAAAAAATGTGCTCGGATTGTATCGGAAACCGCTCAAGCCTCAAGGTACAATAGTTATACAGTATGCCATGGCAACTAACCCCTCTTTAGCCCTGTTATTCCAGGTGCCAGGTACTCAATGATACTGCCCCTTAGCAATGTATTTGTATCTAGTAATAATGAGCAATAAGCAAACATATTTGGGTACTTCAGAAAGGGACCAAGAAATGACATAGGAAGCTTATAGTTGATAGACGAGCCCAAAGCCCAACATATTATTTTCCGACTAAAAAGGAATTATTGGCACGACCCAATTGCGGTAGCAGTATATCACAGTCTCTTAGTCTTCATCGGATGTAGCCAAGGCAACTTCCCATTCATCGGCTCCGATGCCTCAATATAATCCAAAACCTGTGCTTTCTGAAGGCCAGGCGAAAAGGAAAACCGAAGGGCCAAGCGCTCAACAAAGGAATGAATAATGACATATCGTGAGAGAAGCCTGTAGAAGGTATTGTACCAAGTGTACATACGAGTCTCCATCCCCGAGTTCGACAAATCCCCAACGAGCGAGCAGTCCGAGCTCTTTCGCACTCGCTCATAGTCATCAAACACATGCGTAAGAGCAGCGGCATTCGGGTTTCTATCGGAAGCACTCTGAACCGCACCTCGTAGACGGTTACACAATACCACAACATCCTGAACACCGTTGTTGAACCCAAGCCCCATATGAACCGTAAACTTATGACAAGAATCGCCCACGAGCACAATCCTGCCTAGACTCCAGTGCTTTGCAATTCCTTCCTGGAGGTCCGTCATGCCTACGGCCGATATGCTCGGCCAGATATCTTTGACCTTGACTGTGCGGTTCAGCGGAAAGTCTGCAAACTCGGCACCGAGGGCATTAACATCCTTCTCAGTGTATTGTTTTCGCTCGCTGGTTGGCTTCGGCAGTTTTTCGCTCATGAAGAACCAACTACGCTTCGGGCCACTGAAATACGAGACTGACTTCCCCGATGACTGGGTATCGTTTCCTTCACCGGACGGTGACGGTGTGGGAAATGCCCCGAATAAAAGGCGAAACTTTGCCGTGAACGGTTCTTCGGGATCCCAGTCCCGTAGCGGATCTTCTTTCAAGGCGATGTCGCGCATCAAATGTCGGGTTTTGCTGTGAACGCCGTCTGCGCCTATCACTATTGATCCGTGGTAGAAACTCCCGTCGACGCAGGTCACCTCGACCCCATCGCCCTTTGTCTCGATATTACTCAACTGCTTGTTTGTCAAGACCTTTTCTTTTGCGATGTCTGGCAACAGATTGTACACTGTTTCAACCACCTCCGAGCGATCAAAAGCAACAGGGCCATGTCCATGACTGTTTCCGAAATGTCAGCCGGAAACACAAGAAAATGGGTATGACGACTCACTTCTCTCGGACTGTTCTATATCTTGGGCTTTCGTTAAAGACATGTCCATCTTTGGTAAGCGACACATGGGTTTCAAGCTCTCCCCCGCGAGGTAGCAATGACTCTAAAATGCCAAGTTGATGCATGACTCTAAAGGTAGTCGGATATACCACAAGACTGGCCCCTATCTCTTCGACAATAGCAGGTCTGCGCTCGAGAACCACAAAATCAATGTCGGCATGGTGAAGCGCATGGGCGACGATTAGCCCTATTGGGCCGCCACCAATAACAATAACCTTGAAGTCGCTCCCCATGCTATGATTATCGTGAGATAAGCTTCGCCGTGATGGATAATATCACACTGACACAGGGATTGGAGAGATGGGGAAGGAAATGGGTTAAATACCTGCAGATCTCTAGTCTCATGAGGTCAGCGTGTCAGTTATTACACCGCGTGGACCTACATGCCACTAGGCTAATTTTAGTTAGTAAATGATAGGTCTGAGGAATCGTTTCTAAGTACTTTGCTTTTTAGCTGCAGCTCCCGCATTTCTCTCCCGCCCTTTCCCCCAATAATCTCAAGTTCATCGTACAAAGTACGGCACAATCATGCAGGTTTAAGTGGACACTGAGGGCCCATACACGGCACATAATTCCTCCGTTCGAGCGCCTAGTTGCAGGTTTACTAGTCACTTCGCTTTTCTAACAATATGTAGACCATTGTTCTTTTGGCTCCATATTGGAACGAGAGCCCCGGAGGAAAGAAGGTTTTATAGTTCAGAGCATCTGTTAATCCTAACAGGCTTAGCGCCGGGATATCATAAGCAGTTCCTCCGCTTCTGAATCTCGCCGGAGTGTCTTTCGTTTAGCTTTTTTTTTGAAACAGCCGTGGATCATCCGAGACTCACTGCTGCAATTCCACCTTCCCCTAGCCCGGGTCGGCAATGAAAGCCAGGCCACCGGAGAGGCCACACGAGTCTGTGATTAGACCTCTCAATAGCCCACAAAGCCCATTGCCCAGCCTAACCCAGCCCAACCCAACCCACCAAATAGGCTGGGTTTGGGCCCTACCTTCGGGCCCATTGGTGGCTCGTGGGCCCGGAATGAAAGCCCGCAAAGCCCATTTGGGCGCATAATGGGCCCCAAACAATACAAACATGCCAATTTATCGTAGCTGTATAATTAATGCATTTTTCTTTCGTTTTTTTTGGGGGGTTTTTAAACTACCACCTAAGTGATACATAACTAAGGCTATACAGAAACCTTCTTCTTATAAGCTTATAAATCAACTCATAAGATGCAAAGTTGATTTTTATAAAGCTTTATTTTTTATGAGGGGTACTTATTTTTGTTAGGGAATTACATAGTAAGTAGAGGTACCATTAGTGCTACTATAATTGACACCTGGTTATAGACCCAATATATATCTCTTCATACTAATACTCCGTAATCCTTCTAAGTGTGAATTCGTGGTTAAGTTAGATCTTTTTGGGGTGATTTTGTATGAAATTTTGCATGAAATCAGTACAATATCTACTGAATTCCTACTTCTTACTATAATAATATGATGAAATTAAATATACAGGTTGGTACATGCGTAAAATACAGCCATTAATCAGCTACTTTATACGCTCCAAGACTATATTTGTGCACAGAAATGGGCTTTTGATGGGCTTTGATAGGCGCCCATTAATGGGCTGTGGGTTGGGCAGTGGGCCGGGGTTGGGCTGGCTGTGGGCCCGGGGCTTGGGCCCATTTGCGGGCTATTGAGAGGTCTATCTGTGATATCTGCATCCGATATATCCTCGCTCTCCTTGGCATTTTGCGTTGATGCTGAAGCTTTTATAGTAAGAAGGCGAAATCTATACGATTATATTCCTTGTTAATGGATCAACTCCTTTATGACTCAAAGGTATCGGATACTAATCTGCAAGCAATGCGTTTACGAAGTCCCACCGTCCCACCTTTGCACCCCATTTGAAATTTGAAGTGCAAAATATTGTCTACATCATGAATCATTTCAGAAAAGGTTCATTTAAAACTCGCTCTGGTACCGGTATAAAACCTCCATACACGTCTTAGTACCTCGAACCTTGAAACATACCATACTCTAAGTGGACTTCATGTCCGACAACATCGCATTTCCAATAGCAGCTGTCCCCGTCAACAAGCCTTCTGGCAGAGAGCTATCAGTAGTTCTCAAATATTTGGACATGTCCCAGACATCTTTCATCCCTTGCCAGCAGTGAACTCCTCCCCTCTCCACTCTAAGGTGTACATCCACACCGTCCTCCCTCAGGCACCTGGCAAACTCTTCAATCTCTTGCAAAAGCACCTCATGAGAGCCGGCCGAGAGCCAAACTCTGGCGGGTAGAATATCTTTCCATGACAGACTACCAGGCAGTGGCTGGGTAAAATCAATACACGCCGCAGTTTCCCGTTTGATATCTTTGCCCAACAAGTGTTTTGACGCTTTAAGAACAGATTTTCGACTGATGTAATCCATGTACTTGTTGCTCTCATACGTAGCACGTTTCAAACATAGCAAATCAATCCAGGGCGACACCAAGAAAATCCCCCTGCCCGGTTTCGGCAACTGAGCTTCCTTTAATGAAGTCATGAGACACAGGGCCAAGTGTCCACCTGCTGAATCACCCAGAACGGCAATTTTGGAAACATCAATATTTTGATCCAACAAGTACTTATACCCCGCCACGGCCTGTTCCAGCTGTGTCGGAAACTTCGCCTCCGGGGCCAACGAATATTGAAGACCAAAGCAGGAAATAGATATCCCGCGTTCATCGGCAATCTCTGCAATTCGTAAAGCCGCTAGTAAGAAAGTTCCAGGATGACCACTAACATAGGCTCCACCATGGAGATAATATATTATGATATCGCATGATCCAGGGTCAACAGCCTTTCCAGCAGGACCTTTGCAAAGCCAGTATCCAGCAACATTTTGCTGAAGCACTCGTTGGTATAGGTTGGTACTCTTAGAGCAAAAGCGCGGTGAATTGAGTATATTTTCAGTTCTGGGTTGGCTGAGGAATCGCGTTAGTGGGAGAGGAAGCGTGCTACTTCTGCATTGTGTTAGCACCTTCCATAAGACCAGCAAGGTTGATTATACCTTCGTATGAGTGAAAGTGCTAGGTCTTCTTTAAACGAAATCTCATTGTGTCCCAGATTAAGTAGTCTTCGGTATACTAGTTGAATGAGTAGCCACGGAAGCGAAAAGACCAGCAAAGCGAGATGAACCCAGTTATGAGGAGGTATGTTTCCATTGTCTGTAACGGCACTTGTAGTGGACTGAGTCATGGCGTCGCTTTTTCAGTAAACACGGCCGTGGGGAACAAGATATTGCAGGGAAAAAAGGAGCCCCTTTTTCTTGTGCACTTTATAAGCTTACGAGTTCGAGAAATATGAGAAACCCAAGGGCCCTATTAAGGGAAGATGCGGTTTGTTTTAGCCAAGGCGCTAACCCCAGCGACCCGTACCACTCGTACTCCATTTCACTGGAGCCGTCCTGCACGGAGGAGCGTTGTATCCGAGCCGGGCGTCTGGCACCAGATGTCTAGAGACATCTTGCGCTCGAGTTGGCCGGAGTAATGCACTCGCGGGATAATTCTTGTTGAACATTGTTACTGCATGGTAATCAGGTTAACCGAAATAAAGAAATGGTCAATTATTTTTCCGCGAGAGATTATAACTAGTTATATAAACCTTAACTTTGCCTTGAGGGATGACTCCTAAAATTGGGAGCTAAATACGAAGACATGAAAAGGAATGGCGTTAAAATACAGCACAGCCTGTTAGGCTTACTCAGCTCGTATATTTTATTAAATGTAGAAACCAGACAGACAGCCTATTTAGCCTATTATAATGTAGTGGGGGATTTTGTCTTCTACTACGCCTTGACCTTGTCTATTTAAGTGGTCGAATTATATAATCTTGGAGAGATGAGGATAAAAGTAGCAGATAGAGACAGATTGACAATACGCCCTCCTACACTTCTCTAAATTGACTTCTTGGGCAGCACGCCCAGGCTCCTTTGTACGCACAGTTAGGTATGAAACTGAATTGCGGGTGCTGAATCGATCCGTGTGCTTCTGAGCATACAGCCTTGAGAGGTCCCCTCTTCAATAAGTAATTATCTACCTAAACTGGTTCAGACTCAGATGTGAGTACAGAAATGATTACTAGTGACATGTGGTTGTAACGACAACTAGGAGGCGAAGGAGCAAAAGAGAACAGCAAACACCAGGGACAAGCGTGCACGCCAAGGAGGATATTTTATGCAGATAAATCAACCACCATATCATACATTCACTAAGACTTCCGGCCAACCATAAGGTACATAGGAGTGAATAAATTCTTCCGAGCACCCTCGACCAAGCAATCAGCACCCAACGCCAGACTGTTGGCGGTCTTTTGTGAGCCATTCGGGAAGAAACCGATGGTCTCACCAGCACCGACAAAACGGTGGGCAAGGCCGCGACCCCACCTAGTCATACGAGCGATGACGAAGAAGTCCCAGACCGAACCCATATGCTTGAATGAGCCCGCTAGCGGGTAGTACCAGGGAATGGGGTCAGGACGAGCAGCCAGATCTTCGTGGTGGATCAAGCTAAAACCGGCATTACAGAATGCAGTCAGGCCCTCGGAAACTTTAACCATGTTCGAAATACCGTCACCCTGCTCGATACCAAGCCGGATACGACGATGCTCGGGATCATCGTTGTCATATTCGTCAGTCATAAACCATTCGTAGACCGCAAATGTACCACCGGGCTTCAGAACGCGGAAGATCTCCTTATAAACACCCTCAAGATCGGGAGCATGGACGGTAGCCTCAATCACATACACAGCGTCGAATGTGTTATCGGGGAAGTTCATTTGCATGAAGTCGCCCTTAACAAAGGTCATCTTATCCGATAGACCTTGCTTTTGAGCGTAGTAGCTAGCGCGGTCAATCTGGTAGTCATTATTGTTCAGACCGGTAACATGGGCACCAGTGAACTTGACTATCTCGCGAGCGGGACCACCGACACCACAGCCGACATCTAGAATCTTCATGTCCTTGGTGATGCCTGCCTGCAGGGCAATATAGTGCTCGTGGCGGGCGATGGCCTGGTGGAAAGGCTCGCCATAGGCGAAGCGGCAGAAGTGGAATGAGGTGCTCCATCCGTATTCGTAAAAGTCCGTCGCAAGGTTGTAGTAGCTAGCATAAGATCATTAGTATCTGGAGTTTATATCAACGAACAAATACTTTGTAACACGTACTGTCGGGTCAGGGTTGCGTATTCCGCTTTCCGGGCCTAAAGGTTGCGCGTAAGGCGTTAGTAATCAAGACTATTTTCTCAGGGATGAGTCCGATCAGACCTCACGAATCGCATTTGTCTCGTCGGCAGCGACCTGATCATCCCAGTGCTTGAAGTATTCATCCACAGCAGTCTTCTGAGCGGCGGCGTCCTTCCCGCGCAAGGCAGTTAGACCACCCTTGGCCTTGGACGACTTGCCATGAAGGGCCTTGTTGAAGGCAGCATCGCGTGCGAGGTCCTCATGTTCCAAAGCAGAGGGAGCCATAGTTCAGGGAAGAAGTAAGGCTTGGTAGGACTTCAAAAGGTAAGAAGAGAAAAGTAAGAGTCTATCTCAAAGAACAGACAAGGCACATACGGTAGAGCGATATTACCACGAAAGCAGCTGGTCAAAGGCAGAGGGGAAAGGAATGGAATCTGAGACTGAGGGAGTATAGGAAAAGTGAATACATGGTACATATATTCGGATTTTCTTGAGTAGAGGGCCGTCATAAGTCCCAGTCAGACGAAACTGCACTATCTCCGAGGTGGTCATATCCTGCGTTGCTGCGGAACAAGAACTTCCGTGTTGTGGCTGAATCGGATGCTATAGCTACCGGCGCTGAAAAGTGAGCTGACCATCGCGACTTGATGCATCAGCCACACTCCACTCTTATCAGTTTCAGTGCTTTTGCCTTCGTGGTTGTTTTCAACCCTCATTGTATGATGTCAAGTAGTAATTTAACTTCTTGAATCTTGATATTCTGGTGGGGCGAGGTGCCGACTAAAAGGGCAACGGAACTTATTTTTCTATGTAAAAACCATACCCCATTGGCCCATTTCCACTACCTCCGGTAGAGAACTCGAGATCATTCTTCAGAAACATCCAATTATCAGTTTAGGGAGCATCATTTCCCTGAATAGTTATATGTCTGAAGAGAAGGTCGGATTCTCTGCTGTCACACCCGTTCAACGAAGCCAGTTCACCACATCACCTTTACCCGCGCATCGAAAGTCCATTATGTCGACCAGGGATGACGACATGCGGACAAACATCCTGGTTCCGGATGATGCAGTTACCCTACAAAACTTAGGGCTGGTTAGCTCTCCTTTGTCTGATGGAACACGTCGCATTCATAAACGACGTTTAAACCGATCTAGCGATGAAGAAGAACATCATCTTCCGCTGACCCCCCTATCGATCTCCTCAAGCTCCGATTCCTTTGTTAGTATCCCGGATCATCTCGTCTCTTTGGCCGCACTCGAGCATCTGGGCTATACCTCGGAAACTGCAACTCGTATCTGGGAGTATTGGACTAACTGGCCACCTGGGGTGCCCAAGAGGGAGACTGATGACACTGATAATGGTGTCCTATTTATTGATGTCGCCGAAGGTCACCTTGATAATTCTCCCGATACCTGCGCAGAGAATGATGCTGAATGGTTCCACTGCATGAATATGTATGAGATTAATCGTGAGCTTCAGGAGGCAATCATGGATCCCAAGTTCCGATCGATCCGCCTAACCGACTCATGTAAGTTCTGGATTTGGGACACCTTTCATTTACGCAACCGAGCCCTCCAGGCGGTACAAGACGCTTCCCGTGAGCGAGATATGGCTAGTCGGCGGGAAGCTTCCCGACCTAGACATAGTAGTGCTGTTGAATCTGGACGGCGATCGATTTCAGATTCTTTAAGAATGGTCCCTTGGCTATCGCATGAAACCGCTTTATCAGAAGCTGCAATAACTGCAGCTTCAAGGGCACCGGGCCATACAACCATCTACAAGGGAATTGACCAATCTCGCATCACAGAATTATTCGACGATAATGGTAACGTAAACTTCGGATGCCTTGTCTCCCCACCACGGTGTGATTTCTCCGGAAGACAGGCCGATCTCTACTTCGCTGTTGACCGAGAAGTTGCCGAACATTATGCTTGCTATATCAAACGCCGCAGTACGTGCAGCGGGGTTGTCATTATTCATGCCAGTATCCCGAACTCGGTCATCGAGTCCCTCCCTGCACTCGACATCCAAGCTATCTATTGGCCCAGCGCAGAATGGGAGTCGCTTATCTTTCATTGTCGACAGGGGAAGAAGCTCCCCTCTGAACTCCGGAAGTACAAACTTGCTAAGCTTGTAATTGGAACCATTTGTGGTAAGCTAAACGCTGTTATTAGCAGCATGCGATCTCCAGATGACATCACGGAGCAAATGGTTCTGAAGACTAGCGATGGACGTCACGCCGTCCAGTACGTGTTCAAAGGGAACGATGGAGATACTTTGTTAGAGGAGTCCAGCAGCGTAACTGTGTTCCCTTTGACATCACGACAGTTTGAGGCCTGGCTTGAGCGCGTCTGAGTTACTTTCGCGGAATGCCAATACTTGTTCCCCACCACGAAATCGCTTGTATGTATTTGTTAGATTATCAATTATCGAGTCGATTCCCAAGCATTTTTGACGTTAATGTAGCTAGTCCGGACACAGCACGCACATTCCCCTGTTAACTAATGTTTCTCAATTGACTAGATGAAATTGTGCAGGTATTGGATGAAGAAGGGCGGGTTGTTTCAGGCTACAGATCCCGGCATTACACTAAACTTACGATCGCAAGCAATTAACTGGCAGTGTCCCAAGAGTAGAACGGTATATCTTAGTGGACTTTATGACATCACTATTTCCGCGATGCGCCAAGCTCTATTTGTTGCAGGGGTTCGTCTACTGAGAGCGCAGGCAGAGATAGACGCACCTCTCGTCCAATTCGAGCGTCATCTTTCGGCGCTTTCTCTGGCACTTCCACCTGGCTGGTTCAATCTCAGACGCAATGCATTCACAAATTAATCCCCGTCTGACCATCTATCTTCACATGGCAAGGTTACTCTCATCGATTGTGGCTTTTAGTCGAACACAAGATGACGGACGGATGGCGAGCTGGCAACAATTTCTTGAGACGTGCCAGGACATTGCCCAGATTGCAGGACAATGTAATAGCTCTTTCTGTATACGAGTGGATCCTGCCATTTGCTTCATCATCTTCACTGCTCCCATGGTCCTCAGCATATGAAATAAACGGGAATGGGGTCGCCCGAACTTCTGCCACATATCGACCACGATAAAACTGTCCTGCGTCTATAACTGGACCATTTTGCGAAAACCTGGACCTTACCAAGACTATCCAGCTATGTGTGATCGAACAAACATCAAGGGACATATTTAACTAACATAGTATCTAGTATCATTCGCAGGATTCAGCGAATCAGTCTTCGGCCCGCTCTCGCATGGCCAAATTACCTTGATCCCCTCACGGTTCGAAGCACCTTTACATCCAGGATGGCTTGGATTTCTTTCAACTGCCCAGGAAACTTTGGCAGCGTTTTGATAGACCAAGTAAGAATAAATGCAATGGATTACTATCGCTTGCTTCAAGAGGAACCAGTCCTCATCTCCAAATTTGGAATCCAGGACATATAGCGACAGACACGTTGAAAGACAAAAGAAACGCCCACAATGCATTATATCAAAACATCATGGTACATCATCCGTACAGCGTAATCTCACACGTATCTTCGTCAGCTTTTCTCGTTCGCACGTTCGCACATTCGCCCTGCACCCTCCGTTCCAGACGTAGACCGGGATTTCGTGGGCGTTTCGATGGTAATCAACACCTGGTTGAATCAAATGCAGATGGAATCAATCAATGATCCACAAAGTAGTCGGCTCTCTAGGAGCAACCACAGCATTGCAAAAGCCAAAGCAATGAAACGCAGAGGAAGGAGTGTAGAGACATGGGCCCACATCTCTCCGGCATCGGGAATCGCCAACACCAGCGTCGACAATCAAATACCCGAAGAACCCCATTCGACAATTTAACCAGAAAAAAAAAATAGAAAACAGAAAAAACAACACATCCAGAAAGTGGCCAGAATTATCATGGCACAGCCCTGATACACGGTCCACTCCCGCAAATCTACCAATATTCCCCACTGTCACCTCCATCCTGACTTGTACTCAAATCCAGACTCCCGTACCCTGAATCGGACCATTGTCTCGCACCAGGCGAAACAGCAGCTCTCCCGCGTCCGGAATGCCGATCACAGGTATAACCAACGAGGACGGTCTTTTCTTGTACTTGATGACCGCGTTGTCCATAAGCAGAGCATGGGTCGATCGAGTGCTCGAAGTAGAGGCATTTGCAGGCGGAATAGCGTTCGACGACTTTATAGCACATCGTATGATATGTGGGGAGAGTTCGGGGTAATGGATGGCGGGGTTGAATTATATGTTGGGGGTTGCTTGGGCCAAAAGAGAGGAAGCAAACCGGTCGAACAGAAGTAGAAAGAAAATAATGCGAATAGAAAGACACGCTGTCTCGCGAAAAAAATGAACCGAAAGGAAGGAGTGACTTGAGGTTGTATAGAGTGGGACTGAGCGTTATATATAGAGTATAAAGCCAGTATATGAAGATCCCTCAGCCCTATGGCAGCCCCAGGCAGAACCCTAACGGGGCGCGCCCGATTGGACCAAAGAGAAGTGTGAAATATACTCGATCGTTTTTCTCCAGTCTGCAGGTCGTGGGTATCCATTTTACCCCTCCATGCACTATAGGCTGGGGATAACACAAAAAGACCAGTCCAGTCCCATCCTTCAGCTGTAATGTCCACTCTGACTCCGAGTCTCTGACTCTCCCGTAACCCCATCGAACGGTCATCTACAAGTGTGGCAGACAAAGACGGTGAACACATAGTGAAGAAGCCCAGCCACGACAAGCAATCCAGTACAACGAGTCGGTGAGCCACCGGCTGTGCAGCCGAATAGTTCGCAAATACAATTCACACCGGATCAAGGGTCCCAGATCGCCATATGACTGGCTGAATGATGTCGATCGTGAGTCCAAAGTGGATATCGGGGCGTTTTGACTCAGAGAGCCTCTTAGCACAGCCTTGTCACTTCTCGCTACTGAGGCGCAAGGGGATATAGGGCTGACGGCACATGATTGCATCTAAATATTATTTCGGTTTTGTTTAGGTCCAAGTGAGGTGGAGCAGGTTAGGCGCCCGCATTCAGCTGCTGACGCTAACAGAGTTACGGAAAGGTCGAGAACCGGTTTTGTTAGCTTTGACGCTTACTTTTACAATTTACACGAGGCAGCCGTTTTCTCCATTTTCTCGGACTCGGCACTCGTCCACACACGCACTCGCTCACAGAACCATCTACACGTCCAAACGGTAGTTTAATTTGTGAAAGCGACTTTTCCATGTATAACCTCGGACTAGGATTAAGTTGCATAGTCTGATATCGTACAGCGCCTGTCACAAAAGACAAAGCAGGCGAACAGGTAAATGTAGTGTGTGTGTGTGTGTGTGCAAGTGGTGCTAAGCTAAATTCAATTCCCCGATTAAAAAACACCATTTTTCAAAACTCGGCCTCCCTCTTACTCTAACGCCGTAATTTCAGATCGATCCCATTGCCCCGTGACTCAATCCGCGTGCTAATCCCAGTCGAAGCATCCGTAGGATATCCTCGCCCTTGGCAGTCTCGGGAAGTCCGGCCCGCCAATCCCATCCGCGATCGGCGCTGGCTTTGTCACCTGGGGCAGGCACCAGGACGCCTGAGCTGCCTACGGAGGTAGGGTTGGATCCTGAACCGGACCGTGTGCGCGCTGACTCAAGCATGTCATTGCCGATAAAGGCGAAGCTGGAGGAGAAATTGGACACGGATTTCTTCAATAGTGAGCGGGGAGAGGGGAGCCCATCTGATCCTCCGGTTGATGATTGATATTCGAGTAGGGTGGAGCGGAAACATTCCTCGCACTGTGCGTACACACGCGGGGTGACGGTTTCTAGGTCCTCAATTGCGGACAAGATGGTGAACTGTTGGGATATAGAGAGGACTGGAGTGGGTTCTGGATAGGAAGTTAGTACCAGGGAAGAATATTGACGTGGGTTAGTTTGGGAGACTCACGATTCACAAACACACAGGCTTCACCCAGCAGAGCCAGCAGTCCATCCACTTGCACAGCGGAATCACGATCTGGGTCGAAGAGACCTCCGTAGATATTATCCGCCGCACTGCCAACGACAGCCACAAGAGCTTGCGCAGCGGCGCGTCGTCGAGCCAACGGCTTGTAGCGTGGTTGCTGGCCCTCCTGCAATTCAAATTCCTCGTCGCGAATCTCATAGAACCGGCGCAGCGTCGCGTAACCACTGAGATAGAACTGAAGAATCCGAGCAGCTTCTTCGTCAACCTGTGCAATGGACGACAGGCATGCTTTGGGTTCCTTCATCAAGGAGCGCAGTTGTTCATCAAGATCAGCCGTCGCAGGGTACGCGCGTGATTGAACCAAGCTGTATGAAATCAAAAGGTCGACAACTGACTTGACCTTGCGTCGGCTCTGGGCACGAGCATAGCAGACGAGGGCCAGACCGAAATTTTCGGACTTCGAGGTCAACATGTCGCCGAATCGCTGTCAACAAGTAAGCATTTGGTCAGATAGTCAAAAGTAATTCCCTTCTACCACTCACCTCAGATACCCGACGCCCTTGGTCCTCCAGCTCAAGTTCCGAACAGAGAACAACCAGTTTATCCAGCTGATCAGGGCTCTCCAAAGGAAGCTTATCCACAATCTCGGTCACAGCCTTCTTCATCTTGCTTGCGTCGTCGAACCGGCTCAGTACCTCAATAGCCAGCTCCCAGCCTTCACGAGAGCTGTGCTCGTTCTCGATAACGGGTCGGTCATACAGTCCGAGCGCGTAATTCTGAAGAACATCGTCCTTGTGTAAATGGCGGGCAGGGGACTTGTTGTCCTGCCCGTACGAAAGGACCATAAGATCATTCTCGGACAGACCAGGTAGGGTCTTTTGGCTGCTTCCGGACTCGAACCAACCTCCTAGGCTGGCAACTTCTGCGACAGCCGCAGCCACACAAAGCGACCATGACTGCACTAACTCCAATACGCCCTGCACGTTGCCTTCAAAGACAGATGCGAGACCGACCTCCATGCTGCTGAGCGTATTGGGTCGGAAATCAGCGTTGTCAGACCCATCGCTGGTGGTATGGCTGAGGGCTAGTTCGAGACGGTCGAGGTAGGCACCACGCATGTTGCGATCAACGGCGCGAACGTGGTTCTTTGGGCCGCGCGAGCGCAAGAAATCTTGGAAGTTGTCACTGGATGAGGTAGCGCCAAAATCCATGGTGGAACCGGTGTCATCCTCACCATCCCACCATGCCGTCAATGCAATGGTCGCCTCCACCCAGTCTTGAGACTTGTCCTTGATGGCAGATGGGTCGCCCAGAAGAATGCGGTAGATAGATCTCAAGCTCTGATAAATTGACCATGGGACACGGCTTTCCGCCATGCGAGCCGATTGCGCGAATGAAATCGGGTTCTTGTTGGCAGTGTTTGAGTTGAAAGTGGACAATCCAAAGTTGACAGCCTGGAAGCGATTTTCTGGAACCGGTACAATCGACTCGTCCCGCTCTTCGCCCTCGGCGAACTCCTCCAGGTCAGTGACAGCTGAAAGAACGCGTTTCCGGTACTGAGACCAATCAAGGCCGGTGACCTCCCAATCTTCAGATTGGGTTCCAGGGCATGATTCAAGAATTTGAAGAGCCTTGTTGACGCATCGCTGGATATTTTGTAGTTGTGTGCCGCGATAACCAGGCTGTGGGAGTCCATCCTCCATTGCTGATCGGGCGTAGTTGAAGTCTGCAGAACGGAGAACACCTGCAGCATCAGTCAGACGACCGCGCAGCACAGATGCAATAATGATATCCCAGAAGTTTGAGGATGCGGTCGGGTTTGGTTCCACATATTTCAATGCTTGGAGATCCTTGGTCTGCGAAGCGTGGTTTTCACTGAGCCAGTCAAGCAAAACTTGGGGCAGGGGCTTAGGAACGGGAAGTCTCGTCATGGCTTTCACCATACCAGCGGCCCCGGTGCGCATAGGGTTGATGTTGGCAGTCGAGGGGGTTTCACGAGGAGGGTGGTGGATTTCGAGCAGCAACGAAGCCAAGAAGGTAGCTTTCACGAGGTCGGGAGCCTGCTCCCCGGGTCCAATACCGGTATGGGCACCATAGGGCCGGTCATTCCCACTTTCCTCGGCGCAAGTCTGCCAACTGTCCGCCAATTCCTTTGATACCTTAGACAATACAGCATCGAAATCGACATGTTTGTATTCTGCGGCTTTGAGCTCGTCGGAAAGATTTCCCAAGGCATCCTCCGTTTTGAGAATCATCTCACTTGGCTCTTTAACAAGGGCAATACGGGATCTGGCAGCAAGGTTGTGAAGAATGGATGGCATCGCGGACGGCTTCTTGGGGGCCAGGTTGGTCTTGCGGATGGGCGACTGGTGCGTCCAGTGCTCGTCAAGTTTCGGTCGCTTGGCCTCGTTTGGATTCGAATAGATTGGTTTGCGCTGCGCACCCATGGAGGGCTGGGACTCGAAAGGGTTTCCGAAGGCCGAATCTAAGAAATTGAAACTTTTGGGTCGACCCTGGGTGCTCATGTCGGTTTCCTCTTCAGTTTGCACCTCCTCTTCGAGTTCCTCTTCCTCCGGTTCCATCTCGCCTTCCTGCTCGTTAAAGTCACTCATTTGCGACGAGGCAAACCCATTAGAGTGTCCGAAATCCATCGAATCCCCAAATCCGCCTCCATTCGGCACACCGAAGCGAAGACTAGATTGGGCTGCAGGCTTAGCGGAAGGAGCTTTTTGCTGCTTGGGCATGGCATAATCCATCGATCCAAAGGATGAGCCAAAGATGCTGTCATTTGTATTGATGTTACCGGATTTTGTAAAGACCGAGTTGGAGAAATCATTCCTCGAGAAGGAGTTCTGGTTTGTAGAGAATGTGCTATCGTTTGTGGAGAATGAGTTGATGCGCGAGCCACCATTGATGTTTGATGTAGAATGCGGTATGAATGAGCCTGTAGTGGATGGCGGAGGGCCGGCAGGAGTTGTCGATACATTGCTCCAGAGACTGCGAGAGCGATCTTTCTCTGGAGTCTCAGGTGGACTGGACTCGTAGGGTACTTTGAACGACATCGCGGGGTGGGTTGATCAGAATGAGAAGAGACGGGTTGACGGCATCAGAGGATGCAGGTTTTGGGCTGCAACAGCTCTAAGAACTGTTAGATGGAACAAACGGCAATCTCAATCGACAGAGACTAATTCGCCGAGCAGCGAAGAAGGTCAATGCAGTTGATTGTTTGTCAGAGAAGTTCCCTCTTCTGCAGACCTGCTTGTTTTTCTTGCCCTTCACTTTCCGCTTCGACGCGACGGCGAAAGTTATTAGGCATTCAGGCACCAATATTCAGATCATGTGATACTACTTGAATGCTGGTCACGTGTAGTTGCTTATTCAGATTTGCCACTTACAGCCTTGTAAATAAGGCCGAACGCGGGATGACCATCACGTGGCGATCGATCACCACAACCTGATTGGTCTGTTGCCCTGCACTGCCAGCATCTCCAGGCAGGGCTCAGCAGTTGGGGGCCAAATACGACATATCCACTTGATTGCCCCAGGGGCTCTATAGGCACACTCAATGACCTTGGCTGTGCCAAAGGACCCCAATTATCCTTGATTCGGACAGGGCTGAGTCTTACTTGATCTGAGAATCTAGATATATAATGAACTCACTGGTCTCGGGTTCTTAGAAACCAACCACAAATTTACTCCGAATGATACCATTCTCAATGTCATCACCTCCACTATGGATCAAGCTGCCCAGTATCTCATCACCAACACCTTCTGGCACCACCACTACAATGTCAGCACAAAAGACGAAACACACCTCTTCCATGTTGACAACTCCTCCCTCACAATAGGAAAGCCGGACCTTACTTTCCATCGCAGCCCTGACTCCAATGGGCCTATTGCGGGGGTTTGTAAGTTCCGTCACTTCTCCTCAGACTGTGAGATTGGTCTAGGGGACCCCGAACGGCCTAGCGAAATGGACTGGGAATACCTACACAAGCAAGGTTTTATTAAACGCATATACTGGTTCCGCATGCAGCTAGAGGACGGCACAAAGCAAAATTTCACCTGGAAACGAACCCACTCGCTTGGCACCGGCCGGGAAAAATATAAACTTGTCGAGGAGACTAGCCAGACCGTGGTGGCGGTCTTTTCTTCCGGCCGCACCTTTTCCAAAACACCCGGCTACTTGGATATCTACTTGCCTCTAGGGCCACGGTTCAACCTCATCGCCCTTATATCGGGAATTGCTGTTGCCGAGAGGGCGAGGCGTGCGAGAAAGACCAAGACCTCGCAAGGTGGGGGAGGTGGGGGAGGGTCATGTTAGGCCAAGACTTGAGATTTCATTAATGGCGTTCTGTATATTACCCAGTTACGAAGCCAGGAAAATCTTAGCGAGATTTGCGGTTTATTTAGTGTTTAGCTATGATACCCTCGGCACGACTGCCACGTTCTTCTGGATTGGCTTTAAATTTCTTGAACTGCCTGCGTGTTTTGCTTTAAGGTCATACATATAGAAATGTCAATTCGCGTATCTCACACCTCACTGTATTCTATCATTAAATTCTATATTTGGTTAATTCTTATTCCCCTATCAATAGGGGTTGTCTTAAAGCGGAATATACATAAGACATCTGAGAAGATTAAAAAGAGTCTGAGAAAGACTTAAGGTTTCAAAGAAGAGTATATAAGCGATTATTCTTGTACGGTATGGACGAATTAAAGACTTTAATATTTAAAGCCAGAGGCAGTGCAAGCAAGACAATGTTTCAGATTTAGACAAGCCTTTTTCGATTGTTTGATCGACAGGGTGTTGTTACATAATCCTATACTTTCCTCGGGACCCGAGGAACCCCCACGAGGTCCCTCCGATATTCAATCCTGTTGCCTGCCCTTAGGGGAAAACCAACTCTGAAATAAACTCAGAGTCTCATTTTTTCTTCTTCCAGGTTATGGATCCAATGATTTTATGACTATGGCGCTCCGACGACCACACCGGAAATCTCGCCACGGTTGCGTGGAATGCAAGAGGCGTCGAGTGAAGGTATGAAACGAGAACAGAGAAAAAAAAAAACAATCCACTCATCCCATCACAGTGCGACGAAGCCCGGCCATGCTGTACCAACTGCGCCAAGCGTCATGCCGAATGTGAGTACGGGTCGTCAACTTCCCTACTATGGGCAAATGAGTCCGACAGCGGACAGCCAGGCGACCTAGTACCGGAACTTCGTTCACCCTTGAGTTCAACCCCAGTGGCGGGGGTAGCAGACCCCCTGGGAATTTTGAGTCAACTTGGCAGTGAAAATGCCGCAACCTCAGGCGGGTCCGCACTGAATCTCCAAGACCTAGAGCTGATGATACAGTGGTGCAACGCGACGTTCCACACATTGTCACGCAACGAGCGCACCGATCCAATCTGGCGCAACGTCGTGCCCGAAGAGGCCCTCTCGCATCCATTTCTGATGCACGGCATCTTAGCCCTGTCAGCTCTGCATCTCGCTCGAACAGGACCGGAACCGACCCGTCGCGCGTCGTATCTCAATCGCGCCGTCGGGCACCAAAATCAGGCGCTAGCCCTGTTCCGGGAGCTGCTGGGTGACGTGAATGAGGGTAATGCCAAGGCCATGTTTGCTTTTGCGGGAATTGTGGTTATCTACACCTTTGCATTCCCGCATACGCCGGATGTGCAAGATCCGTGGTCCTGCGTCGATGATTTGTACCAGGTTCTTGTTTTAACGCGCGGCGTGCAACAAGTTATTCATTCGCCACGGGACTTTACGAGCTTTCTACTTGACAGTCCCTTTGGACCGATTTTGCAGGTTGAGGAGGTTCAGGTTCCGATTCCCGAGGACGCGGCTGCTATGCTCAATCAATTGCGCGAGGCGAATGAAGTCTGCAGATCACGGGACGCGAATCATGAACTGCAGGTTTATGAATTGGCCATTGCGAATCTGGAAGAAATGCTCAATTGGTGCTACAGCGGCATCAGGGCAAGTACAATTGCCGGGAGGTGGGCGATCCGCTTGAAGCCTCGGTTCATGGAATTGCTGCGCGAACGAGACCCCTTGGCACTGGTGATGCTAGCGCAATATGGCGTGCTTTTGCAACATTTGAAGCATCGCTGGTGTTTTGATGAGTGGTGTGTGAGGGTCTCCAAGGCCGTATGGGCAATATTAGACGACGAGTGGAGGCCATTGATCCAATGGGCAATGAAGGAGACTCTCGGTGTTAACTTTCTAGAACAGGTTGACACTTGACATTCTGAAGTATTTTTCTCGTCATATTCATATATCCCCAAATCCAAAGCGCCAAAACCGCGGGAGAAATTCCATAACCAAACCGAGAGAAAAAAAGAAGAAATTCCAATCTGCACCTCAATATTTCCACAATTATCGCAACAAATCCCGTTCCTAACTCGCTAAACCGCACTCGAGCCCTCCATGACCTTCAACCCGCCCATAGCCGTTACGACTCTTCCCCTGCCAAGAAGATAGTTCACCTCACTCGGGTGAACGATCACGAAAATGACCATCACCGCAAACATCAACATTCCATCAAAGACATAAATGAAAACCTCATTGCTCATGAGATAGCCCTCCGTGCCCTGGACATACTCCACGACACGAACGACAGACCGAATGAGAACAAGGATACTGGACGAGTGCAACGCCCACATATGCTTGCGCCAGGGGTATTGGTCTGCCACCGCATGGGCAGTGGGGTGAGTGCTCATGCGCCGCTGGAAGATGAACGCACTAATCAGGAAGAATCCGAAGAAGACGATTTGTACGATGAGACCGCCGATGATAACGTTCTGGCCGGTGCTCGTGGAGCTTGATGATTTAGTGACCATTATTCCCGCACCTGTGGAAGGATTAGCACCGGGCTAGTGAAGAAGAGAGAGAGAGAGAGAGAGAGAGAAAGAGAGAGAACATACCAGACGCCTGCATCAAGAAACTCAACACGTCACCCGCGACAAATATCTTGGTCATCCATCCAACTCGAATCAAGGCAAACTCCTCGCCCTTGACCATAACGATGATCCGACCCAGTTCCATGTAGATACTCGCTGCGAACAGCGCCGGGGCAACGAGCAGCAATGTGCTTTGCATAACATAGGGTCCAATGGTCCAATCGGGCGATTGTTTCGCTGACATGGCGCGGCCAATATATCCAACAAGCTCAACTGGGAAGGTGTTAGGTATTGACGAGGTTTGGAGGTTGCATTGGGTAAGGTGGTACTTACAGTATCCGCCGATGACGAGCGGGATGAAGAACCATGTTCTCGTGCGGAACAAATGAAAAGTGTGTAGTAAAGTGACAAGTGCAAAGCATACTATGAATACTGCTGCGGCGGCCAATGAAGGGTTGTATGTATAGGCAATCCAGCCGTTGTGGGAAGAAGACATCTTGAATATGGATTGAATGGATAAGAGGAAAAGCCAGGTTGGATTGAACTAATTTTGAAAATAAAACTGCAAACTACTCTTATATATGTGCTAGCTCAGAGTTTTCTCTAAAAATGTTCCTAGGCAACCCTTCAAATGCAAATTCGTGGAGTATGAAAAGCATATCTCGTATACTCGCATCTTCGTATCGTTGTCCCGATATGGATGAGTGGATACCCACCAAGCCGCATACAGAGCACGGTACGAGATACGAAACCTTGAATGTTAATTTTTATCAAGTGGATCCACCCAGGGACAAGGGTTCAGAAGTGGAGACAGCTCTGGAGATGGAGACGGATGCTTGTTCGTACACTTCTCGTATTTTTCGTATAGAAGGCTGGTTATCTGGGACTTTCCTTTTACTATATCCATGGATACAGGGAGATATCCCAAGTCAGGTACAATCTCCAATCTACTCCAATCTCCAACCCTACAACTTCGCCTGCTCACTCCCATTCTGTAGCACATACCGATACCTCGCCTTCCCATCATGCATATCAACTAGCGCCTGATTAACATCCGCCATATCCCTCTTTTGAATCCAAGGTAAGACCCTCTTCTCCGCAGCCAGAGCCAACATAGCGCGAATATCATCAGACGAACCAATATTGGACCCAGTAACCTTAACACTCTTCTGAATCAAACTCCAAGCCATAAGCGGCGGCAATGCATCCTCCGGCGCACCAATCTGCACAAAAGTCCCATCCCGCTTAAGCAGCCTCAAATACTGCGCAAAGGGCATATCATGCGCCGAAACCGTACACAAAATAACATCAAGCGATCGCGAGTATTTCTTCGCCCACCCCTTCTCCTCGCCGGTCGCAATAAACCCATCAGCCCCAAGCCCACCGACAGCATCCGCCTTCTTCCCCGACGAACGCGAAATAGCAACAACACGCTCAGCCCCAAGCGCCCTAGCAAACAAAATCCCCAAATGTCCCAACCCCCCAACACCGATAATCCCCACCGTCTTCCTAGGCCCAACGCCGTACTTCCTCATCGGCGCAAAGACAGTAACACCCGCACACAGTAACGGCGCCGCCTCAGCCGAGGGTAGCGAATCTGGAATCCGGAATACGAAATGCGCAGGTCCACGCCACGTCTCCGCAAACCCGCCATATGACTTGGATTTGTCGCTGTACCGTCCGTTGTAAGTACCAGTCATGCGGGGGCAGTAGCTTTCCTCGCCGTCGACGCAGGCTTCACAGTCTACGCGTAGACAGGCGCCGCTCTGTGCGCCGACGCCGACGCGGTCGCCAAGGCGGATAGCGTTGAGGCTGTGTTGGGATTCGACAGCGCTGCCGATGCGGGTTACTGTGCCGATTATCTCGTGGCCGACTACGCAGGGATAGTCGGTGGGACCCCAGCCTGAGCGTAGGGTGTGGATATCGGTGCCGCACATGCCGCAGTGGGAAATGGAGATTTCGACGTCGGTCGGTGTGAAGGGTTTTGGGGTGTAGGTTGTGTATGTTAGGGGGCTTTTGGCATCGTGGGCGACCCAGCCCTTGAAGGTGTCTGGCTTTGTGGGGGACATTGTTATGGTGGTTGCGCTGTTGTTGCGCTGTGGAGATATGACGAGGGATGGAATTGGGTATCGTTCGTATATTCTTGGGTACGCAGGAATAGAGGCCTCGGAGTTAGAGGGTCGCTCTCTTATGAGGTTGAATGGTCTTAAAGTAAATGAAAAAAAACAAAACAAAAACAAGCTTGATATAATGCGGAGAAGCCGAAGGCCAAGTTACCGAGGTCCGTTTTACCTCCGAAATCAAGATCCATTATTAGGTTCAATTCATGTCGATCGTACGCGATTTTGCCAAAGTGACTCCATATTTACATGCACTCGCTCCAAGTATATACAGTGCAGACTAGTGGGGGGTATCAATTGATCTTTCACCGGGCCACGCCCATCAGATCCTCGAGCTCATCAGTCGTGAGAGTACTTCGACGCCGGTTTGCCGGTCTAGACGCCTTCTCGGTTCGGCTTCTCTTTCGTGATTCACGCTCCTTTTGTTCATTTTGAGCGGCGCGGGCCTCGTCTTCGACAGCGGCCAGCTTTTGATGCACGCTTAGTGATTCATTGGGTTTGAGCTGTAGGGCGAATTAGTCCTTGGGATCTCATTGGGGATATCCTGGGAATATCCGGGGAAATTTTCTGGGAAATCATTCTCGTTGCATACCTGATGGGGTTCTTTTGTTTCGGTCTTTCGCCTGGTTGGCCTGCGGGTCACAGTTTCGGTTTTGTAGGCTTTGATTTTGAGGGTCTCGTCGTCGGTGTCCACACATGGTGAGCCTTGCAAGCCTGGCGTGAATGAGACCTTCCGGGGACGTTTTGTCATGGTGTTTTCGCTGCGTTCTCTTAGAACGCGATCGGGTCGCTCGGGTACTTTGCGAATCTTGGACCTCATCTTCGGGAGATTGAGCATCCCAGGATCTGCTGTTTTCTCCTCCAGTTCACTCGTATCTTCCTCCTCATATTGGTCCTCCAGGATTGTCGGGATGGGATTGGACTCTGGCAAGCTTTGCATGCTCATGTCCTCGGTTGAGTTGATGCTGAGATCGAGATTCATGCCGCGCTTCAATTCGTCCGCTTGGATAGAATCTCCTCCATCTGCAAGACGACGCTGCCACCCACCCATCATGGTAACGGCCTGCTTCCACCGAGATTCCATCTTCACCCAGCCTTCCCGCAGTCTTTTGATCTCCTCGTCTCTCACCTCAACCTCTTCAAGAGGCACAAATGAGGGGTTGGTAAGCAGTGTTCGCAGATGCTCTAGCACTGCTTCCATATGAACAGATAGTTCCTCACAAGAGGTTGGAAGCGAAGTAACAGGCCCCGAAGAAGACTTATGAGCCCCTACACTTGTAGCCATAGCCGACTGCTCATTCTCGCCGTTCCCATTCTCAGGCTGTGTCAAGCCTTGTAGATCCTTCAAAGTACGAATAGTGCTTCGCGCAAGCTCAATCAAGGTATCATTCTCATCACTGAGATGCTGGCATAACTCGGTCAAGAAATCGGTCGTCTCCTGCTTCAAGCTATATCCAGGGTCATGTACTCGTTCCCCGCCGCTAGCCAGAAGGCGCGACCGATCCGACGCAGGGTTGATATTGATAGTAGTCACACTCAGACCCTCACGCTTGCCTCGTTGTCTCTCAGCCAGATGTGACTTGAGCTTCTGCATTTCCAAGTCCCGCTTGCGAATGTCGTTGGCGCATTGCGCTCGGACTTGTTGGACGGTACTCTTCATACGCTGGACTTGTTCCTTGAAACTTCGGATACTCGCATCGGCGCTAGACATGTTCGACTTGAACGTGCGCTCCTGCGCCTCTGCCAGAGCCAGAGAGCGGGTCAGCTCGGATGTTTTCGTTTTCAGTTTTCCCTGTACAAGCAAGGGATGTTAGCGCACTGTGCGACATAGATAGAGTGGACACATACTATCTCCGTAGTCTGCTCCGCCTCACTGGCCTGTAGCGTGCGAATAGTCGTAGATAAGCTCTCGCGGTGTTCGGACTCGCGCTAAAACATGTCAGTGGCTTTCTCAGTCGCATGTTAGCGCAGCACACGCACGTCTCGTCTCAACACTAAATCGTTGACCAAGTTGATCACACGAGCCATGGTGCCGTCTATCCCTCCATCTTCGTTTTCTGGGTCGGCAAAATCGATAGCGCGACCACCTTTTAGCAGGCCCCTTGCCAGCAAAATATTGTTGACATAGGTCGAAGCTGCCTGCAGGTTATGCGACTCCATGGCAGCGTTCACTTTCTGTCGATTGCAGATAACTCCGAATGCCGAATGGGGAAGAAAGTAAACACGGCAAATACGGGGGACTGTTTATGCCATGTATGCAGTACTATAAGCGGTGAGGACACGTGTGATTCTGCCGGTTTTATTGCGGAATTGTATCGCGATGCGTCTAATTGTAGATTTCCATCGAGAGCTAGACAGTATTGAAGTTGTCCATTTACGAATATTTTGAAAGTTCAGCAAGTCCAACAAGTCAACTTTATAATCCAGAAGCAATTCCAAGGTTGAATGATATGAAGGTAACATAGTGCGTTGGCATTTTCATAACGCGTGCACATAGCTCATCACCCAACCATCAACTTCTATTCGTCCCCTGCGTGGCATTAAACCTCCTCCTCCTACCCCACTACTTAATTCTCACCAACCACGTCTGCATCTGCTTTTCATCATGGCTTCAAGGCCAGGTACACGTGCAGTACGCGGAGTAACTTCTAAAAAGAAGCTTGACATAGATCAAGCCGCTGTCTTTCAGCGAGCAGGTCAAAATGCCTACAGAGTTGGTGATCTCCAAGGAGCCCTGCGGTCCTTCAGCCAGGTACGCCCTATCTTGTTTGTTCCGTCGCAACTCACTAATCATCCGTACATCCAGGCATTGGCGTTAAATGATGAAGATGCTAGCATTCTGGATAATCGCGCCGCTACATATTGCAAGCTGAAACTATTCAGCCAGGCCCGTACGGATGCTAGAGCTATGGTCAAGCTTACACCCAATGATGACCGTGTAACTATCCACCTCAATGCTTACTTCTCAATTATGGATTCGTAACTGACTCTGGACAAAGGGATACCTGCGATTAGCCAAGGTCCTATGTCAAGATGGGAACTTTGACAAGGCCCGAGAAATCTACGAATATGCCCTCAAGAAACTTCCAGCCGATCACTCAGGCCGCAAGGTATGTCTTTCTTTCTGCTCTGTTCGCCCATATGTACTGTATTTCTTTTGCTACATGTCTTTACCTCTCATTTTCGCACTATTCTTTCTCTCTCGCTTCTTTCCTTCTTCTAACTATCTCCAGCTCCTCACGCAGTTGCTCAAGAAACTGCAGGATAAGCTTGCCGGAGGAAACAGGCGCGACCCATTTACGGTCCTGCCACTAGAGATTGCCGTACTCACGCTTCAGTGCTTTTCCTTCAAGCAGATCGTGTAAGTGTTCAATCCTCACTTCGGAAATCCACTAGCTCATTACAGCATACAGGGCGATCCTACGCGTCTGCAAAGGATGGCACAGATTCCTAAGCGGTCTTTCCAGCCTCTGGATGCATGTTGATCTCACTGGAGCTAGATCTCGTGTACCTTGGACGTCTGTCCGAAACTACATCCATCGATCGCGAGCGCAGTTGACAAATGCCACCATTGCAAATCTTGTCCCCTCTACTACGCCTAAGGTGCTCGACATGCTAAGTAGATGCACCGCCCTAGAACACCTGGAGTGGATGGTTCCCCACGATCAGCCCAAAGAGTTTTACCTGAAAATCAAAGATTTTCGACAACTAAAGAGTATCGTCTGTGGAGCAAATATTAGCCTGTCACACGCATGCGTTGGGAGCATTCTATCCACTCTCTCGAAACTTGAGAAGGCTGCGTTTTTCCATGTTTGGGATTTTCCAACCGGGGGGCCGCGACCCACGCCGACGTGGCCTCAACATCTTCCAAATATGAAGAGTCTGACTATTTCGTCTCCACAAGCAAATCCCCGAGTCTTGAGCTTTCCGGATGTAATTTCAGGGTTGGGATCGGTAAGCTTTCTCTCTAGATTTGGTATTGAGGATGTGTGCTAACACAACCTAGTCTGTATATCCCAATCTAGAGGAGTTTCGGCTGCTCTGGGGCCCCTCGCGACCACATTCATACCGTTTTGATCCGGTGCAGGAAGAGCAGCATCTTCCCCCGCTCCGTACACTAGAACTTTGGGGCGCGGCTGTCCTAAATACTTTTTATTCAATCCTTCCAACTAGCCTCGAGACTTTACGCTTGTTTTCAGGGTCCATCGATCCCCCTCGCGTTGGGAATTTTATGTTACCGGGAGATCATGGACTCCCAAGCCTGAAGACCTTGATATTCCATGACACCCCATGGGTCAACCACTCCACGCTCTCCGTGTTCCTACTTCATTCCAAGGCTCCTCTCCGAACCCTTCACGTGAACCTTTGCCACAACATCAGTAGTGAACAGTTCATTCATCTCCTCCTCGACCCCGAAGGAGCGAATCCAGAATTGAGAGAATTAACTGAAGTGGGAGTCGCCGGCATGGCTGGCCTGGACGATGACAATGTTGGAAAACTGTGGGCAGTATTGCCAAACCTGAGAATTCTCGACTTATCGCAGACAAGAATTAGCGGCTGTGCCATCCGCATGTTCGCGGATGCCCGTAATGATGAATTGCCCGGCGCAAATCTCGAGGGATTGGTCATAAGAGGATGTGACAATGTGTCTCGTGATGCTATTGACTATGGACGGCAAATGGGACTTAATATTGTCACCTAAGGGCTTCTCGGCGATATTTGGCTACTTTTCTTTGGTATTTTCATGGTAGAAAATTGCCTGAGACATCACCTTTGTACAATACAATGAGACATGATCAAACATACCTGGTATATGACACGAATTTGCAATAGATCTCGAAACTGCCTGCTGCACCTATGTTCTTTTGGACGTCTACGAAGGGGAATAGCACCCAGGGCCGTATATACACCCATTTGATGCCCTAATGCCCGAGTTTGGCCTAAATATAGACCACCCCTTTTACACCTGTTCATACGGTATATTGTAAATCATCAATCCATTCAGAGACAAAGTTAGCCTAGCGAAGGATCTCTGACTCTTCACTCAATTTTATCTCACTTTTCTCTCACCTTTACCTCATTCTACTTCACAATTGTTTCATTGACAAAAGTATATGCCTTCCACTACATAACCGGTAGTAGAAATTCTGGCAGCAGATTGCAGAATTTGACCTAAACTTTCGGCTAGATCAAAAATGGGTGCATGTGACCCTGAGCGCTATGCCCCTTCGTAGACGTATAATAGCCTCGCGGGTTCTTAGTCCGTCTTGGGAAAGAAAATGCGACCTAGCACAGACCCTTGAATGGGCATCAGCTGATGCAAAACATAGAAGTCAAACTCTCCCGAGCTTACTACCCAAGAACCATAGTCCTGCAATTGGGATTTCGTACTTAGAAAATGGGAATAGAGCCTGAGCCTGGCAAAACTGTGCAACTTCGGCTTGAATTGGTAAATAGTCAAGATAACTTTGGATACCGACAGTTACACACACGAGAACAGAAGATAACAGGGCAATCCACCCAGACGATCCCACAATATAAAGCAAATATAATAACAAACTTAGAACTCAGAACCAGACTAGCAATCTAAACCCCCCGTTCCTGACACCACCTCTCAACTTCCCTAGCCAACTTCTCTTTCTGATCACGCACAAGCTCCATCATAGGCTCAACCTGCTTCCTGTGTGAGGCAACAAGATCGCCCTTGCCGTCGACAATAGCCACACCATCCTTGGGCGCAAGGTTATCATCATAGATCTTAACCATGAGCTCCATAACAGCAGAAAGCTGGTTTGGAAGCCACTAGAATACCAGAACAGTCAGCAATTTGATCACAGCAGGGATACCAGACTTCACTCACGGTTACAATAGGACTACCACCAGTAGCAGTGGGATGCGGCGTGCGACGAATGATGTACTCGCGGGCAAACAGCCAGTGGCGCCAGCGGAAACTGCGGATGTGGTTCAATGTGCGCAGGAAGAGGACCGCGGTCTCGGAGTCTTGGATGGCGTATTTCTGGACGCCAATTTCCTCAGACTTTTCGCGGATGTAGGTTAGGAATTCGCGGTGTGGGAGGGGACGGTAGGCGCGGAACTCGTGGAGGATTTTGGTAAGCGGTGTTTCGGGCATGGGGATTTCGCAGAGATGGTCTAGGAGGGGGATCTGTGGTACGGTTAGTTGGGTTTGTGCCTTTGGGGTCATGTTTTGGATTGGATTGCTTACAATGCTGTCGTTGGCGCCGCTCTCACCACGGAAGTAGAGTGGCTTGTTGTCTTCACAACCTTCGTAGACCACGCCATTCGGGAACATGGATTGGTTGGTAATACCGAAGATGAAGACTCGGAAAGACAGGTATTCCGATGGCTTCGAGTTGCCCCACATGTCTATCTTGATGTTAGTTCGGAAGATCGAAAGGATGGGACCATATGGATGGTTAGGGTTGCATACCTTCCATGGATGCTTCGATTTTCTCCATCGACTTGAGGATCTCTCGGAATCCATCATTGATTTCCTGTCGGGAGCCATGCTGCTCGAGGGAATCAACGATCTTCAAGACGCCACCGATGAGCGGGCCGGTCTCCTTGACCATGTCGACGTGAGTCAGGATGAAGCCTGCCTCGGAGCTCTTGGGGTCGAGACCTTTCTCGAAGGAGCGAATCAGACGAAGGTTCGAGTACTCGCTCAAACCCTTGGCAGGGTCGGCAACGGTGTAGTTGAACAGAGCATAGGAAGCAGCATATGACATGAAGGGTGGTAGGTTCAGGCTGGGGATGGTTGTTAGTTAAGGTGTCGTTATATGATGAGGATGTGTATCAATCAAAATGACCCACGACATGGGGAAGCAAGGAAAGAATATAGGAGACCTACATCTCAGCACAGCGGTACATAGGACGAGCAACAGACTGGGGCAAGACATCGCGGCCAAGTCCATAGCCACCCTCCGGGTCATTGTTCCAGTGCTCCCAGCAAGGCTCGAGCAGGTAAGATGAGGCCAGGAAGGTATAGTCCCGAAAGATGGCAGCAATAGTAAATCTATCATGCGAGCCATCGGGGAGAACCAGCTTCTCAACCTCGTCAGTCAGGTCGGTAAGCTCGGCCTTAACAGCAGGGCCAAGCTCATAGGTAGCCAACAGACCGGGCTTGCCATCGAGCCTGACGACAGGGAGACGATTGACCAGAGACAGCAGGGCACTGAAGGCCTCCGGCAGCTCGACAGGGGCAGTCTCATAGGGCAAGAAGCCTGTCTTGGTGGTGATGGTGAAAGGGTCTAGGGAGTGGGAGATGGATGAAGGGTCATCATGTATATGAGGAAACCGCTTCAGGGTAGTTGGGGAGGGGTATGGCACATTGGTTCGAGTCATAATGAGATGAGATGAACCAAAAGGGGGAAGACTATAAGTCTATGATATAGGGTGTATGGATAAAGAGGAGGGAAGAGTATAGATGTGTAAGGCAAAGACCAAGTCAAGAGCCTAGGAAGTAGGATAGATGGGTAAAAAAAGATGAGGAAGAAGCCAGAAGACCTTGGGAGATGAAAAGAGAACTGGAACTTTTAGATTTTGGGCGGGTGAGGAGCAGATTCTTATAATACTTTGAGGCCGGTAACAATTCCGGCCTCAAGTCCTCATTACGAAAGAGAATAGAAGATAACGTGGGCCCGCTGACATCCGGTGCTGCATGATGGAAATTGGTTATATCTATCCTAGATGACACTCGAGATGCTTTATATGATTATATTCAGCTAGAATACGATATTTTGACCACCATCTCAACACCCAGATGAACTATACAATTGCCCAGTGAGAGAGGGCAGATGACGGTCACGGGGTGGCGCTAGTCCCGATACAGCATGGGCGTTAAACGGCGATTTGACTACCTTCCCTGGGATTTGATGGAAATTTGTGGTGGCGTATGCCATACTAGGCGTTTAAAATGCTTATAACGAAGAAATTGACCATTCAGTGATGAACTATTACGGATAAATGATCAAATGTGGTCTACTCAAGTCATGATGTATGCCTATAGTCCATGCGCCGCCAAGCGATGATCCCCAGATCCCGCCTTCTGATTGGACGATAAGTCCAAGTTTTAACTTCCCTAGCGTTCGGAGGCCGGAATGCTACCGGCCTCCGAGAGTAGCCGGCCACTTTTATATGTGTCAGGTAGCTTTGATATAGGACAGACCGCTAAATTGGCATGACTTGTGTGATACCTTGTGGTTACAAGCTCCGAGATGTAGCGAAAATCGACCTATTAACAGTGTAATCTCTTTAAAATTTCTATTATCTTATTATTCGGCAAACTTGAAAGTCGCACTCGTACATCTCCAGATATATATTAAATGCGAACAAAAGAACCTATAGTACATTTGCTCTCCCAAAGTACATAGCCTAGTCGGCGACCCCTCCATGTGTTATATACAATACGACTCGCCATTTGAGTAATGCAAACGTTCTTCATGTTTGGCAACCTCACAATCCATCGTTCCCTTCGATAAATTTTCATACAAATGCACGCTCAGTCCTATTCACCACTACAGTCCTAGCATTATAATGCAAAACCCCATGCAACTGCGACAAAAAGTACCACAAGACTGCATCCCCCACAACAGCCGGCAGAGATATATTGTCGCCCCAATAGTGCCTCACAAACTCCCAAACACACCCGGTAGATGCGACCTCAGGGCACCCATTTGCCCCAGCACAAGAAAAGACTCGAATATCTTCCGATCTGTTGAAGTCATACCTAACATGGTTCCCAAATGCAGATTGCCCATGTGGCCATTCCCGACCCTACCTTGCGTAGTCTAGATACCGTGTTTCGGTGGGACAAGTTTCCCACGCCTCAAAGAGGTCATGGGTACGAGGACTTTTCTGAGCAATTATAAAGCCGGTAAGGTATTGAGGAATGTGCGGCCGTTCCAATCTCTTGCCGCTTTTTACTCGATATAAGCATGCACGCATTTGTTTAATCTTCGTTTCCCGAATTGATTTGAAGACTTATATAGTGTGCCATTGACTAAAAGGCCATCCGAATAGATTTCCGGGGTTCCGACGCTGCTTCCGCTAAATTCCTCTTTTTTGACCGAACCTGCCATCTCTTCATTTCATAGTTCAATTGCGAACGGTGGAATTCGATGATCAGAACACGCTTTCATTCCACAGTAGGTTTCCCAAACAAAGATCCCCATGCATCACCCCCAAGGAATTTATTTCTTTCCTAGAGCGTCGAATCTGCGTTGTAGTTCTGGAAAATGCTCTATACTATGAAAAGTCTCGCCACCCCACCCCATGAGTGGCATGTGTCGAATCTCACCAGATCCCTGAAGTAACTCATATTTAGATCGATTGGGCCAAGAAATACAGGGATCGCTGGGCTCTGGGCTCTTTGAAGAACATGCTACACCTCTATTTCACGAGAAACTTGTGGCTAGAGGTGCGTTTGTCTAGGGCTTTTCCCATCTTTCATCTCAAACAATGCCAGTGAAGATTCCTTCAACAGAAGGTATCTTTATAATCTAAATTCAAACTCATGTGGCTAATATAAAATAACATGAGAAAGTGGCCGACGTATAGCACCAGAGATCAACCTACCCCGCCAAGTTACGGATCCATATCAAACTCCGGATTGACCCATGATGGCTGCGGAGCTTTCCCGCGCATCCAAGCCCCAAATTTATGTAAAACGCCAAATACAATACA